AAAATTGTTCCTTTTTAGACAGCCGCTGGGATCTAACCCAGCTGTGATTCTGCCAGGAAAGGATGTGTCCTTGATTACTTTCAGATGTGAAACAACTCCCAAGTATGGTAAAAGACTAACTGCAAAAACCATACCGAACCCATGAGTATTTAGCAGGCAGGATGACAGTTTGTACTCTTCAGTGCAATCAGGAGGAGGACATTTTAGGATGACCAAACTTTCCTTCATAGTGTTACTTCAAAAGGAAAGGAGGAAGAAAAAATTAATACATTATTGCATTACAAAGAACAATGAAAATTTATAAGATATATTTGGGATCTGCACATGCATTTGCACATGTATTTAACTTCATTCTAAACCATTTTACATCATTGTTTTGTTGTGTTCTTATCACAGATTTCTTCCAGCTGGAGTAGACAGTATAGAGAATAAGCGGCTGCTCAACTGGAGCCAATAATGCACTAAAATTATGAAATATTGTGTCTGTGCTAGGATCCATTTCATCTCCCCTCTGAACATAGCAGCTGTTTCCACAGTGCCTAGCAGGAGAGTAACAAAGTCAATAATGAGAAGAGCAGCCCTCCTCCAGAGCTAAGTTAACTGGTTCTTGCTTTTTCTGTTGTCCGTAAAACCCTTCTGGGTTTTAGTAAATAAAGGAAATCTCAAATTTGTAAATAACTTCTTTTGTACATTTTCTCTCTTTTTAGATGTTTTTTGCCTTACAATATTAAGTGACAAAAGGACAATATTTATTTATTTATTTAAAATTCTTCTTGAATTTCCTCTTTGAATTCTTTTAAAATTGATAGAGCATAGTCGTGGCTGAGGGGAAAAAAGGTCTTTATTACACTTCTGTTTACATTGCCTCATCCACAAGAAACCAGCAATCAAAATTCAGAGGATCCACATATGTATGAAATTTACCTATATATAAACCATTCTTAAGATATTGTCAAGAGGAACATTTACCACTCCATTTATTCCTTCTTTTCACTTTTAGTGGTGGCTCCAATTGTGAGAAATGCTCACACCCTTGCTATTTAAATGCAGTAACCAGACAAACACAAATACAAGCAGCTCTCCATTACTAACTATCAGTTGGTGAACACTGAAATTCTAAATACTTTATAATTTACTTTCTTTCTCAACCTATTCATGGAAGTTAAGGTTATGCTTAGGTTTATTCTCTTAGCTCTTTTCCCTATGTGATAGATTAGCCTGAAACATATTGACTTGCTCAAACACCCCAACCCGGAAAAATTGTGGCTAAACAAAAATATTTTGATTTAGTCTTTCATGCCCAAAGTCTGTTTCTTTCTATCATACTGGCACTAGAAGGATGGAGACATAGCCCACAAATATACAGGGGTAGGAGACAAAGACCATCCATTCAGTCCTCATACCACTCCTATCACTGTCCTCCACCATCCCCATGCTGGAGAGTGGCTGAAGCAAGGTGCTTGCTTCATGCATGTGAACTCCCCATGTGCTTCACAACCCTGATTGCACAGGGCTCTACATAGTATGTAGCCTACCACTGTCTTCTCTCTCACACATGGATTGATCTCACATGGAGAGATCCTCTGAAAAAAGGCTTTTCTCACTAATGTAAGATCCTGTCCACACTGGCATATAAATGTGGTACAGTATATAGATCATACTTTTTTAAAAAAGGGTGTGTCTGCTTGGGTTTCTATTTAGACTGAGTCATCCTTCCGCTTTAAGAGTTGTTGTGCACCTTTCTGGCCCAGTGGTCATTTTTGGCATGCTCATTTAGCTCAGGAGACATCCTCATCTGAAATTTCCCTGGGAGAGTTTGAGACTCTCTCTCTCTTTTTCTTTGATCTTGTTGCTGCCTTTCATGGTCTCTCTCTCTCTCTCCCTCTATATGTGTGTATTTGACATAGGTGCTGCATGGCTCAGCCTTGCAAGGAATTGGCTTCATCAGCAGGACACAGTGTGTCTTTTTCTCCTCAACACTGCCAGGGAGGGAGAGAGATGTGTGTGAAGAGGGGCAGGCAGACTTCTTCAAATAAATAAGTCCAGCTGCTTAGGAGCCTCCACCCCCAGCCTCCACCCTGCTTCTGCTGCTGCTTTCCTGCTGGTGCCTCTCATCCCTTTATGCTCTCAGCTACCCAAGGCACTTAGCTTTATACAAGACTGGAACAGCGGCAACAGAGGGAGAGGAGTGATGAGTAAAAAAAAAAATTAACTTCTCCTGACCTTCCACAGATAATCGAGAAGTTCATTTGCTGTTTGGACAGAAGGAGCACACCAAATGGCATATCACGGACCTCTACAGACCCTTTGTAGCCTTATCTATCTATGGCACATTCCAAACAGCCAGTCTGCACAGACCGTACACCTTTGGAATTAGATGATGAATTTAAAAACCAATAGGCACTGATTTTATTGTTACGTATGAACACTGATATGTTGTTTTAAATAATCAAAGTGGTAAACCCAGTTTTTCATGGTTACCATTTGCCTCTACATAGTATGCAAGCATTTTTAATTGATTATAGACACAATCCCTATCCAACTTCAGCCAAAGTGATAACAAATCAGTTTAATGTAAATGCCCCTATCCAATTTGCCATGATTGCGCTCCTTTCCCTTCCCCTTCTGGGTTGCATTAGCGAGACTGCCCTATCTTGCAATATCCCTGAAGGGAAGCAGTGGAACTCTGCCCTGCCGGAGTGCGCTCGGGCAGTGGTGCCAGCATTTTTAATAGACAAAAGTTAGGAATCAACTGATCAAGAACAGGAGGTAACATAGGGAAAGAGCATCATTCAGTCCAAACAAAAAGTCAGCCATAGAAGCAATCATAACTAGACACGGAAAAGAAGAACCAATCAGTTACCTATCACAACAGAGTTTGCTGCCCCTGATCCTGATGGTCCAAACTGTATTTCCTTGCTGGAAATGAATAATCAGTTTTATCAGCCATAAATGAAACATCACATTCAAACTAGGTGAATTCTGAAGACACTCTGTCTAAAGTTACTAATCATGGAATCATTCTGCCAGGGATGGGACCTGCGAGTCACAACTTGCTGTCGAGTCCAACTTAAGTTGCACTGGTGACTTGACTCAGACTTGACTTGGGGTTTTTTGGGAGACTCAGACTCAAGTTGCAACTCGGACCCATTTGTCGAAGTCGCATTTCCTGGGCCAGCACATGCAGAGAGACAGCGGGCTGGAATGCACCAGCCTATCAGCTGGGTAGCGGATGCCTGGACAGAGGCAACAGCCAGCTTCTAGAAGGGAAGCAGGACCTACTACCTCTGTGGATGGCAGCAGGTGGCGGCGGAGGCAGGAAAAATACAAAACATACACAAAAGCACAACGTTCCAAGAACAACACAATTATGTGAAAGAAAAGGCACCGTGTTCATCCACTGAAAGCTATTTTCAGTGTCACGGTACAGAACAAAGTACAAAGGAAAGCTCCAGGTTCATTCTTTCTAATTTTCACTCAAGGAATTAAAGTGATAGACATGCAAGTCCTAGATGGTCACTCAGGAAAGAGAGATGCAACACTCAGAAATTTACTTCCTGTTGCACCCCGAAAGTGCTCTGTCTTTTTCATCTGCTATTACCCCTCTCTGGAGTTCCTGGAGAGGCTTCAGATGCTTCTTTGGAGGGCAAGGACCAGGTGAACTTCAGGTGGGGAAAGGGAGGGAAGGAGATGGTGGGACAGCTGTTGGAGAAGGGGGCCTTGGCTTGGCTTGCATGGGAGAGTCAGAGGGGGGAGTCAGAGCTGGGAGAAGGGGAGCCTCAGCTGGTGGGGAGTGCCTGGAAGAACCAGGAGCCCCTCCCTTCCTTCCCTCCAAGGACAAGGCAGGTGAGCTTCCTCTAGGGATCTTCCCCAGAACCCACCTCCTCCTCTTCCAAGATGGCCCCTGTCACCTCCCACTGTGAATGCACAGAAGCAGAGGCTGGCTCTGGGAAGGGAAGTCAAGCCACTTTCTATGCACATGTGCATGCACCCACATGGCTTCCCTTACATAGTACCTCCTGTCCTGAAACATGCACCCCGGGGGGACAAGCAACTCAGGATTTTGACTGGGATTTGGGGATCAGTCCCAAAGACAAGCCAACACCTCTGATTTCTCAACCCCTTTCATCGTTATTTAGGTTTTCAGTTCATTCATTTGTTCGTTAGAATTTGTCCATAGCCACTCGGACCTCTTATTACTTGAGGCAGACTTCCATTTCTGTCCTGTAATTTGGGGAAGAAAAGTCATGACTCTACCATTACCGGTAGCATTCCTGCACACAGATCTGAACATACTCATTTTGCATCATGTGTTAAAGTAAAATGCAGCTGACTTCCAAAGAATTCAGTTAGGATTCCAGCATCATTTATTTCTTTTCTTAAATCTTCCCTACATACTGGCAATGAAATTACTTTCTTAAAGTAAGGCTGAGAAAGATTATATTTCCAATGTGGTCTGTATGGTCTGTAAAATACAGTTAGACAAAATGGTTCTCATAAAACCATGTACAGTTGCTCTGGAGGTGGGGCTATTTTAATCATTTTTTCTGCATGCATATTGAACAGTTCAGTTTGGGTGCTTGAACTGAAAAATGTCCTCACAAGAGAGTTTAAGGTTTTGTTGTTGCTGCTGCTGCTTCTGTTGTTCTTCAATCTTGGATAATCTTAGGACAATTCTGCTTTTTTTACACCATTACCCATCCAAACACTCTCCATGCATCCTAAATACTGGACAAAACTTCATCAGATGACTCACACAATCTAATCCAAAATTCAGTTTAAAATCTGGGACTGAATTATAAATACCAATCAGTGCACATATATCATGACAGGTAATAAGTAATGTTTTGTCTTCTATGAGAGTCCCCAAGAGCAGAGCTATGGCTGTATTTGAGTGGCTATATTTGAGAAATAAGGGCATAACTGAGCTAATGGAAGATAAATTTCAACACAGGCTGGTTTGTTTCATGACTCACCACTGGTGCTGCACTTCAGCTGAAACTGAGACTGGGTCTTGTTCCCTCCCCTTGCTGCAGAAGCGTTCAGCTCTTGCCACATCCCCACCTCCTCCTCGGCTTAATTCTCTTTCCTTCTCCCTTCCCTCTTCTAAACTCAGGGACAGAGCAGAAACTTAATAAAAATTGACAACTAGGAAATAATTGTGTTCATCTCCTTCCGAGAACCCCCACCCACCCCTTTCTTTCCCCTGTTTGTTTTCAAGGTTCAGTAAATGGTAAGGGCATTCTTTGCACGATGAGGTTTGCCTACTTCTTCTTTACCTTCCTGCTTCAGGATTGTTTTCTGTTGAGAAGGGTACTCGCTCAAGGGCCAGGCATATCCAACAGTGTGATAACGTTTCAAGGTAAGAAGAAACCATTTTCACAGTGTTTTATTTTCTCCTATCATATGGCTAACATTTTTTTGCTTACACTGAAATTCTATAGATGTGTATCTTTCCAGAACCTGGTCATGTGTTTCAGAACAGACTTAGAGAGCTAACTTTCCTTTCTATCCTTTAAGGTTTTCTGACTGCTACAAACATGAAGATTAGTTGTGGGATGGCAGGGTATTGTTGTAGGGTTGTAGTACATCCACAGAGGAGTGAGCAAGGCATAAGTCTCATGAAGCAGTGAGTTTGTCAAACTTTCTTTCTGCCAAATTGTAATATAACTGAGCCTTCATGTAAAGAAAGTAAAGTGTGTTGTGGCATGTTGAAAGGCTCAGCATATGTCTACCTTGATTTTTAAAATACAACATCATATTTCCCTTGAAAATGTGATGAAGAATTACTGAAAGTAACTCTAGTGCTACTGTTTGATGGATAAACAGACATTAATTACTCCAGTTTCTAAAGAAACTGTTTGTGGAGATAAAATTGACTGCCGTATTAAAGTATATTGGAAAATAATACTCAAAAGTGATCAGTTTTCAGAACTGGACCATAAGGCCAAGATTGCTAGAACAGGGAAAACATATTTTCATTCATGTTTAAATCTAAGTTTCAAATTATTGAAGAAAGTAAGTAATAAAGAAAGCACTACATATGCACGGATACACACACGCATACGTACAAATGTATCTTTAGCATAGCTAATCTTTGCTGTTGGCATTATCCTTGGAATACTTTGCTCAGACAGTTTATCTTTAGGGACTTTCATCCCCTCTAGAAGGAATGGTGTGTATCAAGTAAATGTTATCAAGTATCAGGTAAATGTTATAGTACATAATTACTAGAATTTAAAAAGCATGCATGGATATGGCTTACAATTCCACTCAGCGCTCCTGCCTTTGGCTCCCATTTGTTCGATGTCTGCACAGGGGCTTATGAAAGGTCATACATAACTGAGGTACATCGCCTCTGAATGCACAACAAGATGTGGGTGATATGTTCACAGTTTACATACAAAGTTCCCCCTGTGAGGATACCAGCTCTACTGCTGGGAGATAAGTTTGGGTCAGGAGCACAGCAAGGTGCAGTCCCTACCAGCCAAATAGGCTACTGCCTCTTTCCAGTGTATGTTACATGCTCCAGACAATGTTTCATGGTCGTAGTAAAGATCTGAGGATCTTAAATAGTACTTCTGGCATGTCAAATGAGGCTCCTGTTTCTTTCCCTTTAACACCATATCCCTTTCCCAATACAGTACTTCTTCTGAAGCTCCTTTGAGTTTTAGATGCCAGTTGCCATCTGATGTTGGAGAGTACCAATATGCAAATGGATTTGTGTATCTTATTGCATAATTGCTACAATGATCTTACTCGTTATTTACTCCCATATTAAAGATATGAGGATGGGGTGAGTTGGCTGAGGCTATGAAAAGGTTACTCATCTCAGGCCATCAACTGAGTTCATGTCAGAGGAACATTCCTTATCTGCAACTCCAGTTGCAATTCCAAACACACACACACACTAGTTCTGCAAACTTCCTGGGAAATCTTGTAATACAAAAAGTTCATGTTTTCTTTCTAATCTGCCTCTTTCTCATTGAACAGATTGCCCCGTGGATCTATTCTTCGTCTTGGACACCTCTGAGAGTGTTGCCTTAAGGGTAAAGCCTTTTGGGGCCTTGGTCGATGAGATCAAAGGATTCACCAATCGATTCATTGATAAATTAAATGACAGGTAAATACAATATATTTCTGAAACACAAATCAAAATAAGCTTATTGTGGATTCTGTGTGTCAGAGACAGTGCTGTTAAAAGCACATATGCAGAAAAGGTATTTGTCTGTATCTGTTTATTTTATTAATACTCTGCCTTACTTGATACATTTTCTATTCTTTTATTACAGTTTCTTATAGTACTTGTTAGCAAGGTATAGTAATTTTTGTGAGATACTTTCTTATAGTACTTGTTAGCAAGGTATAGTTGTAATTTTTGTGAGCTACCTTGGGTCCCCTATGGGGAGAAACACAGCACATAAATAATATTCTCTGGTCCATCTCTCACCTAGATTGCTCTAGGGTCTTGTCTTTTCTTGTCTCTGGTTCTCCATTCTCTCAATTGCAATTTAACATCTACAGCAGTGGTTCTTAACCTTGGGTTACTCAGGTATTTTTGAACTGCAACTCCCAGAAACCCCAGCCAGCACAGCTGGTGATGAAGGCTTCTGGGAGTTGCAGTCCAAAAACACCTGAATAACCCAAGGTTAAGAACCACTGATCTACAGTGTATATGTAACTGCTGGGAGAGGTCATCCGGAGATCTAGAGTGAATTGTCATCAATATGCAGATGACATGCAACTCTCTCCTTCCACCTTTCTGCAGTGAATGGTGTCCCATTCCTTGAGTGCTGCCCGGCCCCAATGCTGGAATGGAAAAGGAATAACATAATGAGGCTGAACCTGAATGCAACGGAGGTCCTCTGGGTGGGTCCCCCTGGTATCTGTGGATTGGATGGCTCCCTCTCCTTTGGCAGGACTACTCTCTCCACCAGGGATGAGGTGGGCAGCCTAGGTGTACTTCTGGACCCAGCACTATCAATGGAGAACCAGATAGCATCTGTGGCCCAATCAGCCAACTGCCATCTCAGATAGATTGCAAAACTGCACCTTTACATGAACACTCAGTCACTCACCATGCTGGTCCATGCACTGGTAGTCTCAAGATTAGGTTACTGTAATGCTTTTTATGTAGGGCTTCCCTTGAGACTGACATAGAAACTTCAGCAGATCCAGAACACAGCAGCCAGGTTACTGGGTAGAGTCAGCAAATACCAACACATCTCCCTACCCCCGGCTGCATTATACTGGTTAGTTGTTCAATTCCGTGCCCTCTTCAAGGTGATGACTCTAACATATAAAGTCCTAAACGATTTGGGACCTCACTACCTGGCAGAATGCTTTTTTTCAGGCAAAAACTGCCCATCCCAGTCATTCATCATAGGCAGGATATCTGAGAATGCTGACCCCAACAGAGGCCCAAAGAATGAGGACTAGGAGTCAGGCCTTCTCAGTGTTTGCACCTAGATTTTGGAATCAACTACTTCCAGACATCCGCCTGGCCCCCTCAGTGATAACCTTCAAAGAATCCTTTAAAACATTAGTTCATTAATTCAGAAGCATTTACAGTAACTCAATTTTCTACAAACCCACCTGTTTAATCTTATTGGATACAATTAATTATTTCTTTCTGTATAAATTACAGATTATGAACAATGGCTAGGTGTTACCTTGAAACTAACTGTGTATTGCTGTATTCTGATTGCACTGAGACTTTTTGATCTGTTTCCTATGGGGTATATCTATCTCCCATCTATCTGTCTATCTCAGGACTGCTGTTTGCTGTATGCTTTATGCCAATAAAAGTTATGATTAGAGATGGGGACAAATATAAAAATGGATTGGTTTTTCTGACGAATACTGCCAATTCATTAATCCATATTTGTGGGTTCTAGACACCCCCACGAATACGAAGGGATGAATATTTGCCTGTTTTTATTCGTCCTTCGTATTAAAACAAAAAACAAAAGACACCATTCTGCCTACTGGCCGCTGATCAGCTAATCGGCGGCAGAAAAGCAGCCACCACCCCACATAGCCCCCCAATACCACAACCTACCCCCATCCCTTCCTTTCCCTACCTTAGGCCCCACACCACACCACACCACCCCCACCGACACCCTCTTACCTTAATTGCTACTGCCGAGGTCTTCTGGCCTCAGAGCCATGCATGTAAAAATGGAGACTGGCTGCCCTTTGCAAAGATGGCGGCTGCAAATTCATTTAGGGTAGAGAAGCCACAGCCTCCATCTTTGCAAAGGGCAGCCAGTCTCGCTTTTTACACACGGTGGCTGTGAAGGCCTGATGGAGACCTTGGCAGCAGCTATTAAAGTAAGCGGGTGTTGGTGGGAGTAGGGTGGGTGCTAAGGTAGGGAAAAGAAGGGGGTGTGGCGGTAGGCTGTTGGGGTGGCTGGCTGTGTGGGGGTGGTGGCTTCTGATCAGCTGATTAGTGGCCAGTAGGCAAAATGGGCTTTCTGTGCCATGTGGTAAACTCTCCTGGGGGGGACCAATTTGTGGGTGAATAACTTGGATGGCTGATATCCAATCATCACCAAAGTTATCAGATATGTTGGGGAAAGACTTAGGAAGCTCTGGTGTGATTCTGGAGTCTGGGGAGCTTTCCTGGGGGGTTCTCTTTGTGACTATTTAACTTGGGGATCCCTGATTCAATTTTCACCAAACTTTCAGGAGTTGTAAATAGGTGTCTGAGGAAGCTTCCCTGCAAATCTGTTGTCTCTAGATGGTTGCAGGCCAGTGTTATATCCATTTAAAATGCAGACAAATCAACAGTTCAATTCATTGATCCATCAAAGAATATTCATATATTCATATTTGTTGATCGATTAACCTTGATGAATAACGGATCAAAATGAATCACCATTTTTTATTTGTCCCCATCTCTAGTTATGATGATGATGAAATTAATTTCTCCATTGCAGGATCCAAGTCGGTTTACAACAGCTGAAATCCTGTTACAGTGGTGCCTCGCTTAGCGATGTTAGTCTGTTCCAGAAAAACCGTTGCTAAGCGATAACATCACTAAGCGAAATTAAAAAGCCCATAGAAATGCATTAAAATGCAATTAATGCATTCCTATGGGCTTAAAAACTCACCTTAAAGCGAAAATCCTCCATAGCGCCGCCATTTCCGCTGCCTCTTAAGTGAGGAAAAACAGTGGGCAGCCATTTTGTTTTCTCAGCAGCCATTTTGAAACCACTGATCAGCTGTTAAAATAAGGTCGCTTTGCCATGATTGCTTCCCCGCAATCATCGCAAAGCGAAAAAAACCCATAGGGACCATCGCAAAGCAATCACTTTTGCGATCGCAAAAAGTTAGTCGCTAAGCAATTTCGTCGCTCAACGGAGCGATCACTAAGCGAGGCACCACTGTATTTAGTGTAATAAATCACACCACAGAAGTCCCATTGAATTAGTGGGTCGAGTTCTTGTCCAGCAGTTCTTTTGATTCAAATGCACCTATTTTAGCTGCAGCTTACTATGGTAAAGGAAGAAGCAACTAGAATAGCCCATTTGAATTAATGGAGCTTATGGAAGAATTGATTCACCAAATCCCCATGAATTCAGTGCACTTACTTTAGCTCTGACTTATTACTCTGACAGGATTTCAATCTCTGTACATCTAAAAACTAAAATACTGTGAGTGCCCCCCTCTATCGCGACATGAATGCTTGCAGGAAAAAGCTCTTTTATTGGAGCAACACAATGTGGTTCAGCAATAAAACTTAAAACTTACAGGGTGTTGAGGAGTTGACTTCACTCCTGAATAGTCCAACTAGGCAATGGAAACCCCACAAATGTCTTTTACCGAGAGGAGCAGAGCCCTGCCTCCACTACCAGTTATCGGACCCCATGCAGGTGGGCCAAACACAGAGGGCCGCAACTAGGGTTCTGGGTACAATATTCAACTGTCCTTGGTACAGCTTAAAATGGGCTCCTTCCCTTGGTCCCCTCCCAAGTCACCACTGAGAACAGTTGCTCCATAACCATGGCACTCTTCGTTGCCCGAGTAATGAGATGTACAGGAAGGAGGTATGGGAGGAGGACCAGTTGACTGACATCAGGTATGCTGTGGGGCTCCTTGGTCCCAATGCTTCCTCTGTCAGAAGCATGCCTGACTCTGGTTCTCTAGTCTTCTCACTCTTATCACCTTGACTTTTTTCGGCATACCCAGGCTGCTTCCTCAGAAGGCCCCAAGCACTTCTGCCAGCACTGTGTCTGGGTGCTGGTGATGGATAGCTTCCCAGTTGACCATTGAGTGTTCTGATAATTCCAACACCTCTTAGGCCTCAAACACTTCCTAATCTACAGTGTCAGCCCAGCAACCCTCCTCCTCATCTACTTTGCTCTCCTCCTTAAATCCCCACCCTTCCATGGCTACACGTGTGACCTCCAAAGCGTCATCCATATCTCCACTGCCCACACCCCAGTCTACAGGTGAGCCGCAGGCCAGGAATCATGTCCTAACTCTTGGGGAGGTGGACAGCCCATTCTCGCCAGCAGGGGGTTTGGGGCTGGTCCCATGAACACATACAATAAATTACGATGTTAAAATAATATTAAATAAGATTTTTATTTTAAAACACGCAGTTTTAAACCATTCAGAATCAGCAGCAATAACAGCAAAAATAAATTTAACCTGCCCTTAAAATGTCCCTTTCAATGTCCTATAGATTAAAAAGTGCTATTCTAGTAGTACTATTTGCTCAGAATCAAACTAAAGGGGAATGTGTATTTCTTACAGTTAGCCCAATTAAACTGTTTTTCATCCCACTTATAGACAGTTCATTATACACAGGTCCCTGACTCCTCACATATCCATCCAGCTGTGAAAATCATACACGACTGTCATTGTTGTGGTCATAAGAGAAGACTTCTTAACTCCACACACTTGGTTCTGGTATATTCTAAGAACCTCCAAGGCTTCTTCTCCTTTGTAGAATTTCATGGAGTGTTAACAGGGCCTTGTTTTTCCACTCCGTTTTCTATTTTCTAACCTAAAATATCAATTAAGAAGAAAAGGCAGAATAGCTTTAAAGTCCCTTCTGACTGATGGTGAGATAAATTCTTGTCCGAAATGCTCTAAGCCACTGGTTCTTAACCTTGGGTTACTCAGGAGTTTTGGACTGCAACTCCCAGAAGTCTTCACCACCAACTGTGCTGGCTGGGGTTTCTGGGAGTTGCAATTCAAAAACATCTGAGTAACAAAGGTTAAGAACCACTGCTCTAAGCTACAATACATAGGAGAGAAATAACTAGGTACATTCTTCCCTGCTTTGGTTGTTGTTTATGTTTCTCTTCCTTTGTGTGTGTGTGAAAAAAAGAAATAGAGACAATCTTTTAAATTTACGTCTGTTATTTATACTGTTTGCTAATTTTTTATTATTGTTGCTCATTAAAATGTTTTAAATAATAATATATATTCTTCATTAGTTTTGTTACTTTTAAAAAAAAACTAAAAATTCCTTGCCAAAATGCCTTAAGTAATTTTAAGTCATTAGAAAATCCTACTTATTATACCAATATGTAACTTCACTCCCACTTTATTTCTAAAATATAACTTTTCTCCCTCAAACACGTTACGTGTAACTACATGACTTGTAATATATGTCTTCCAAATTCATTTATATACAGATACAATCACAGATACTGATGTATACAAAACCTAAGAAATGATTCGCTCTCTCTTTACAGATACTATCGGTGCGATCGGAGTCTAGTTTGGAATGCTGGAGCCTTACATTACAGTGATGAAGTAGAGCTGATCAAAGGGCTCACCCGCATGCCCAGTGGGCGAGCTGACCTGAAGAATAGAGTCTCTAAAGTAGTTTCTATTGGGAAAGGCACTTACACAGACTGTGCCATCAAGAGAGGAATTGAAGAGCTGCTTGTTGGGTAAGTGGAAACCACACAGATTCCCAGATTTTCAGCAGAGAAGCAAGTTCTCTCTACTATTTGTGCTTATGAGAGCTGGCCACTCTGCTGCAGCACCCTGTTCTCACAGACTTATCAAATACAGTAAGTAAATGTTGTAAGATCATTGGAATTCTAGCTAGCATCCTTCAATAAATTATAATCTAGATTTCATGGACAGAATTAGGAACACATTCTTATTCTTAATCTTCTGCTCATGTGCAGAAAATTTTGGAAATAAAAGGTCTTGGATGCTAGACTAGCTGGACTTCCAAGGGCCTGGATATATTTTTTGTTCAAAGGCCCAGTCTGAAAGGCCAGTCAGCCTAAGCCATTTTCTTCCTTTTTCTTTAAGAATGTGGACGCTGCGGGCCATATCTTGGCTGGCTCAGTAAAAGAAACCAACAAAAAATTATTTATTTATTTATTTATTTATTTATTTATTCATTCATTCATTCATTCATTCATTCATTCATTCATTCATTCATTCATTCATTCATTCGATGCAGAGCATCAGTGATGATCTATTAGAGTCTCTTTTTTTCAATTCACTTCCTCTGCTCCCTCCAAGGAGCAGAGGAAGTGTTCAATTTGCTGATATTAAGCCACATTGTGATACCATAAATCTAAACTGGACGGTGCCTTGACAGTGGGGAATGCTTGCTTTTGATCCATTGCCAGCGATCATACATGCTGGAAACGAACAAAATCAGAGCAATCCTACCCACATCAAAAAAGTAGCAGCTTGTGATGGGCTCGAAAAATGTGCAAGTAGGATTGTACCGCAGACAGTTTGGTTTACTCCTGCAATTACATGTGATTGCCAAAGAAGGGAGTGGACCAACCTGTCCCCACAGCAATGGGACAAATGTGTATCTGATTGAGTCCTTAGTCACTTCTATCTCTTTCCTCTTCCTGCACACACACACACAGAGACAGACAGACACACACACACACAGAGTAGTGTTTCAGTTAAGGGCTCACCAGAGACCAATGTGAAATTACTGAAGGATCCTAGCTAAGGACTCCAGCCGAGAGCAATGTAAAGCCATGGACTCCCCATATAAGGCAGCAAACTCTCCCAGAGCCCCTGGTAGAGCATGTTTTCCTTCCAGACATCAAATTTGAACTATCATTCCTGTACGGAATGGATGCAAGTAGCATTGTTTCCCCCTTACAGTTTTTAGAGTGTTATTTCTATTTCACTCATGGCCAAACCTTAACAGACAAGTTCAGCTGAGATTCTGGGAGGTTTGTTGACACCATCCCCCTTGCATATAGCCCATATATATTTGAGTCTTAAGAAAGGAGAGGAAGTATCAATGGAGCATGCAATTCAACTGCATGGGTATCACTTCATATCTTTAGAAAGTGGGTGAATTCTACAGTTGCATAGCTGGAGATGATCACATGGGTCTTTCCCATTGAGTAAGTACAGTCTCTCCCAGAACAGTGCTAAGTGGGTATGAAACAAAGGATATTTGTAGGATGGTAAGTTGTATTCACATGAAACATCCCCATTCACAAAAGGTGACTTGTCCCTTGTCTCTCATGTGGTCTTTCACATTAGCCTTGTGCTACCATTCCATCTTTGTACAGTTTTTAGGGTACAGATTTGAAATCAGACCTCACACATACAGGCTGTTGTGTTCATGGACCTCTAAACTACGTAGATGACAGCAGAGCTAGCAAACACAACCCACTCACAAATGTACACATTCCTATATAGACAGGAAAGGATACTGTAAAGACCAGAATGGAACCTTTTGCAAGTTTCTAATACAATTGCAACTATTGTGTGAAATATTCTGGAAAATGAGTTATTTACATATTCTGGTTTCCATTTACATATTCTTATTTCTGCAACAAACCCATCTAGTATCCAAAGGCAAGCTATACTCAGCTTCAGTTCCCATCTGCAATATGGTAATCATACTGACTTTATTTTAGAAGATTAGAATATGAAGCATTATATCAATGTGAATTGTTAATATTATTCAAGCCTTTCCCTGACCTGTGCAGGAGAGGAGTGTTTATGCAACTGGCAGGAAAGTCCTGTTAGCAATCCCCTTTGGCCTCTGGGCTACTGGTACCATGGAAGGCTTTCCAGTTTGGTTAGGAGTCACTCATGCTAATTGCAGCCATTATGAGATGTCTCAGCAGGGAGAAATATTGTGAGACACAGTATTGGTTAATCTCACAAGAATTGGAAGGGTTCTGTTTGGCAAGACATTACAGTCTTGATCTACATGCTTGTATCTGAGGTCATCTGAGCAGGCAGTGTGATCCATGTTATCTAGGTCAAAATGTTCATTCTCTTCCCAGGGGCCAAAAAGGACTTTTTGCAATGTCTTCCAGATTTGCCAAATGATGACGAAGTTCTGTATTTACCCAGTCAGGATGCTTTTCTTTTCATAGGACATCACATTAGTGGCTATTTACATTCATAACATTATGCTGAGCACAATCATCACACCTTGAATACTAAGTCTGCAAGTTGCCTTCATTTCACAGGGACTCTATTTCAGCCTTAATTAAGGTAGAAAAGAAGGGCATGAAGCACCTGAGGCATATAACGATAGCTGTGGTATATATGTGGCAATAATGGGAATGTATATAGATAATATATCTGATACATGATGCAATTGCTAGAGACGGGAAACACACTGAAACTGAACAGCTACATTGATAGGACAAAGCAGAAGGTTTCCCCACGGAAAGCTCCCATCTCTAATGTTTATAGCTTTTAAAGTATGTTGAGTCAAAAACAGATGGACAACACACTGTGACAACACAATGACTGCTTTTGCCTAATCTCCTGAGACTAAATATGAAAAACATTAAAATTAAACTAACAAAGGAGAATGATTACTTCTAACAGTAAGTAGCTGTTTAAGATATGAGTCAGGAATTCACAGGAATTAAAGAATCTTCACTAGACTAATTTTTGGGGAGCAAAAAACTGCTGCAAAAGAGAAGGCTAGTGCATGGAGCTGACTATCATGGAGGGAAAGTCACTGACAGGGCCTCAAGGCAACTTGGATCAAATTAACAAATAAAACAACTCCAGGAAGAATCATAGAAAAGTGAAGTTGCAAGGGGCCTACAAGGCCATCAATGCCCACTGCCTGCTCAATGCAGGAATACAGTCAAAGCATATCTGCTAGCTGATTATCCAAGCTGTTCTTGAGTGCCTCCAGTGCTGGAGTACTCACCAACTCCTGAGGTAACTGGTCCCATTGTCGTACAGCTCTAACAGTTTGGAAGTTTTTCCTGATATTCAGCTGAAATCTGGCTTCCTTTAACTTGAGCCCATTGTTGCGTGTCCTGCACTCTGGGATGATCGAGAACGATCTTGCTCCTCCTATGTATGACAGCCTTTCAAATATTTGAGAAGTGATATCATATCACCCCTCAGTCTTCTTTTCTCAAGGCTAAACATACCCAATTCTTTCAGCCTTTCCTCATAAGGCTTGGTTTCCAGCCCTCTTATCGTCCTTGTCACCCTCCTCTGAACTTCTTCAAATTCGTTAGCATCCTTCTTGAAGTGTGGTGTCCAGAACTGGACACAATACTCAAGGTGAGGCCTAACCAGTGCTGAATAGAGGGGGACCAGCACCTTGTGGGATTTGGAAATTATACTTCTATTAATGCAGCCTAAAATAGCATTTGCCCTTTTTTTTGTAACCACATCACACTGTTGGCTCAATGGGCTGCTACTATTAATTTTCTTCAAAAAGAGGTTAATGATCTGTTACAGAAACTTCCAGGTGTAGCAAATACTGCAAATACTGCCACTCAAGCCTTGGAGTTGGGGATTGAGCACCAACAGTCTATAAAAACAGGTTGTACCTGCCAATCTGAAGGCCTGAATTGAGTTCCTGGAAAACAAATTTGGGAAATGCCCCAAATTTGAGAGTGAGAGGATTCAGTTTTCCAGGATTTGGAACTGACTTGATTACTTCAACACCAACTGTTGTGTTCTGGACTATGTATTTTAAACATGGATTTTATTTCAATGCACAAAACTTTCCGTCCCTCAATAAGAACAAACAGAAAACCTGGTGACATAGTGGTCAGATTTGCAAGGCATCACAGGAAAGATCCCATCTTAGCAGCTTTTAAAGACAAAAATCCAATTGTGTTCCTGAATGCAAACATACAACTTTAACAAGATCTTTGTCCTTTAACTTTGCGAAGCTACAAAATATACTAGTCATTCACAAGCCTCTTACATGAAAAAAGAATAACATACAGATGGAGACATCCAACAAAACTGATTGTTAATAACGATGGGAAAAGAACAGGTTTCAATTCATCCTGTGACACACAAGATTACCTATTCCCCCCCAACCAGTAAATAAAGAAGTGAGACACAAGAGTTGGATTCAAATTTCAGACACAACTTTATTGACTATTCAAATCCCTGATCTGAAATAGGGTAGTGCAGTAAACCTAGGCATAGGATCGGGTGGACCATCCAGGCCCCTCTCAAGTCTGGACCAGGCATATCCCTTGCTATGGCCAGCCATGCCCTGGCAAGCTCAAATTGGGGAGACATTCTCAGGCCCACCTCACTCCTGATATTCATGAACTGAGGTTTGCCACCTTCCGAGGCTACCTTAAGAGGCCATCTCCGCTTGTGTACCTGAACACAACAACAGTGCTGCTGTCTGGCCCCAGAACATGCTTAACCCAAACTAAAATGTTATATTGCAAACAGCATGTGAGGAAGGTGACGGGGGGGCAGCCTCCCTGTTGGTTTGTGATACCTTCTTCCCTCTGAGTCTTCCCTCCGAAACAGCTAGATCCCCTATAGAAATGGGAATGATGAGCCTGCAGTCAGAGTCAGCCCCCTGAACAGTTAGCCCAGAGACACAGAAGAGTCCAGGGGAGGAAACAGTGTGGCATTGTCTCTTAGCTCAGCCATTGTGTGGTGCCTATGGTATGACTTTAACAAGCCACACATGGCCTCACAGAACCTGTGCAAAAATTCTCTCAATAGTGCTACAACCTTATAAGCAAAGTTCAAGTGGCCAACCAGTTCCTGTGGTTCCCTAAGGTGCACAATCCAGCTGCCCAGGAAGCTATCTAGTCTGACCTGAAAGCCAGACAGCTCATCCTTGGGTACCCTATATGCTATCTATTTCAATGCCTAAGGAAGTAGCCTGGTCATGGGGCCTTCTGCCATTTCTGCTGCTAAGAGAAACCCATGGTCATCAGCCAACCTATAAAAGCCATCCAGAAATAACTGACAACGGCCTGAACCCACTGTACCTGAAAATAGAAACCATCCAAATAATGGACCCCATGCACAGATCCATCCATGATGCGCACTGCCCACTGTAGAAATGTACTAAACTTCTCAAAGGCAGCACAGGAGGCAGAGCAGCCTGTGAACAGATCCCTATCCATGTAATAACTACTCTTAAAAGAGAAACCGAACAATTCAAAATTATCAAGATGGACTGGCAGAAGGCGGAATGCTAACTTAATGTTGCATTTTGCCAGCTCGCATCCCCCCACACAGGCATGTGCCATCCTAATGGCCACATCAAATGATTTATATCTAACAGCTGCCAATTCTCCAGAAATTGCATCATTCACCAACAAACTCCATCATTCACCAGCACACACCCCCTTAGAGTAACAGAGGTGATGAATAAAGCAGAACTTCCCTGAGCCCTTCTTTGGGATGACTCCTAATGGAGATACCCATAAGAGGGGAACAGGTGGAGCCTCCCACAACCCTGCCAGTGGCCACTTCCTTAGCTATCTTCGTTCTAAGTATGTGTTCAATAAGATTAGGTGTTGTCATGTCATAATTTTACCTAATCAGAATTTTTCTGTCTCCATTCTCCTTTGAGCATTTTGCAAATAATGGTCTAACGAAGTTAATTAGTGTTGCAGGAGGTACAGTGGTGCCCAGCATAGCGACGATAATCCGTTCCGGATAAATCGTCGCTATCTGGAAACGTCGCTATACGGGACAAAAAACCCATAGGAACGCATTAAACCCTGTTTAATGCGTTCCTATGGGGACAAAACTCACCGTTATGCGAAGATTCCCCATACGGCCACCATTTTTGCCACCTCGGTAAGCGAGGAATTGGCGTGAAAACGCTGCGGGTGGCCATTTTCTTCACCCGGTGGTCATTTTGGAACCGCTGATCAGCTGTTCTGCAAACATCGCAATGCGAAGATCGGAAAGCGAACCGCTTACCAATCATCGCAATGCAATGTTTTGCCTATTAAAACATCGCAATGCAATCACAAAAGCGATCGCAAAATCCGCATCGCTATGCGGATTCAGCGTTAAACGGTGTGCTCGTTATGCGAGGCACCACTGTATATAAAAAGGGTGTTTCTATTGTCTCATCTACATTTCCCCAATTTTTACTCTCTCATTGCTATTATCCTTTGGATTCCAATCTGGAACTCTCTACATAAGCCGACCTCCTGCTCAATGCAAGAATACAAATCAAAGCAGATCTGCCAGGTGGTTGTCTAGATTTTTCCAGTGTTGGAGCACTCACTACCTCTAGAAGTAATTGGTTCCATTGCCTATTTAATGCCCCTGAGATTGCTGCTGCTGTTGAAGAGTGTTGTCTATGTACTCTTCATCTTCTTGTACAGCTTTAAGCCTGGGTAGTCATTCCTTCAATTTTTTCACTTTTTCTTCCCAAAGTGCTACTAGTTTGTACTTTTCTTTGAAGTTTAAATGTTTATTCTGGGCACCTCTTTGCCTTCTAAAAATGCAGCCACCAAATAAAATAGACTTCAGTTTTATAAACATAGAGTAGAAGGAAATGTCAATAACTCAGGATGCAACAACACAGTAAGGGAATGGCAAATTAACTCACATTATCTTGCTGTGAAGTCGCACTGGAGCATTCATTTCTCTTCTGAGGTCACAGAAGCAGAGGAGGAAGAAAATCTTTCTAATTGCAGCTCCATTTGGAGCACCTGTAGGTGACACAATTCAAAAGAACTACCTTAAGGAGGCTTTCCATCCTCAGTGACTATTTCCTCATCTTGTTTTGCTAACTGGAATGTTGATCACATGAAGAAGAAGAAGAAGAAGAAGAAGAAGAAGAAGAAGAAGAAGAAGAAGAAGAAGAAGAAGAAGAAGAAGAAGAAGAAGAAATTCTGTGCAGGAGAAGCTGATTAAAAAATATTGGGAGACATGCTTTGCTGAGAGGGATGAGTACTGGTGCTTTTGTGTGTGTGTGTGTCCGCGTGCTCTCTTGGTTCTCTCACAAGATGCAAGGGGAAGCTGTTTTGTGTATATGTGTGACCAATAGGGCTTTTCCTTCTACATTGGAGAAAGCTAAAGGATTTGACTTTTAAAAATCAAAAGGTGGGGAGGAAAAATTATGGACAGGAGGTGTGGACTTCTGTGCTGCTCCTGTTTTTCTATGAAAAGGTGCTCTAGTACTAAACATCAATACATTGTCCCAGTGCTAAATTCGTTGATTCAAAAAAACTAAAAAATTAAGAGACACTCTGAGAACAGATCTCAGAGGCGAGTGCTCCCACAGTCCCTAAACATCGCAACCCATACCATGCCTATGTTGCCAAATCACCATCTACCGGCACAGCCACTCCCATCATTTTGTGGAGCATAACAACTGCTCATGTTCAGCCTTTTGTTAGGGCTTCACTGATTAGATAAGATGATCAGCAAATGCAAAGGAGTACAGTTTTATGTAATTAATCATTAGAGGAGTATTACAGCCAAGTACATGAGGGCAAATATTTAGGATTTTATGTGTCAAGAATTGTATGTTTGCAGAGACAGTATGGACTGTTGCTCACTCACTCATTAAATTTTTTTTCCAGTGGGTCTCACCAGAAGGAAAATAAATTCCTGATTGTGGTGACAGATGGACATCCCTTGGAAGGCTACAAAGAGCCCTGCGGGGGACTAGAAGATGCTGCCAATGAAGCAAAACATCTGGGGATCAAAGTGTTCTCTGTTGCCATATCTCCAGACCATCTGGTATGAAGTGCATACACATGGATGCTGTTAGAGGAACTGCTGTCAATAAACAGAGGGAATCAAAGCAGGAACAGGATATTACCTAGTGGATTTGATTGATCCTTTGGTTCTCAGTATCATATGACCTGGAAGGACTCTCTCTCTCTCTCTCTCTCCCTCTCCCCTTTATCACTTTATAACAGTTTACCCTAACTGACATATTTTCATTATTCTTTTCCCCCCGATCCTCTTCCATACCTCTTAATGGATTTCTTTATTTATATCTCCTTGCCATATCTCTTTCAAAGCTATTGTTTAATATTCATTCTCTACTAACATCTTATACAGTGGTGCCTCATATAGCGATTGCTTTGGATAACAATGAAATCGCTTTGCGATGAAGATTTTGCGATCGCTTTTGTGATCGCTTTCCGATTTTCCCTATGGGGGAATTTCGCTTTGCGATGATCCCCTGCTTGGGGAGCCGATCATGGCAAAGCAAGGCTTTTTAAACAGCTGATCGGCACCACACTACCCCCCCCAAGAGCTCATGCATAAATAGGGGACAGCGGGAGGGGGAACGGGGGTGCTCCAGATTGGTGCCTCGGGAGGAGGGAGGGAAGGAGGGGTGAAGGGCCTGGACTCAATCCCCGCATGCACCCCTGGGGCGCCAAGCCAGAGAGTAGTCGCGGCAGGAAGCGCTGCAAAGATGGAGGCACCCGCTGGGGATCGGGATCAGGGCAGCAGTGGCTGGAGGGGGGTGGCGCACCAAGGAGACCGGGCGTCCGGGGTTGGCTGGCTGGCAGTGGGTGGTGCACCCCTTCTCGCCCCAGGCAGCTGCCTGCCTCCGAGCCCACCGCTCTATAACTTAGCCTCTATAACTAGATGTTATAGAGACTAAGAAATTGTAAAGTTATGTAATTCTTTCGTACTCACTATTTTTATCTTCTTAATATTAAAATGTAATCCTGCTTTTGCACTTTCTTATTTGAGCTTTATAAGTAGTCATTTTAATGTTTGTTTGTTTGTTTGTTTGTTTGTTTGTTTGTTTGTTTGTTTATATCCCACCTATCTGGTAACATGACCACTCTAGGTGGCTAGATGGTGCCATCTGCATTTTTTAAATTATTGATACTTTTTCCACCAATCCTGCTGTCCATATATGGTGTGCAAGTAGACTAAACGGATAGAGAGAAAAAATACACCCTTGTTTGACACCTTTATCAAATGGAAACTCTCATGTTTCTCTGTGTGTTGTCTTAAATTTGCCTCTAGTTCATCAGGACAGTCAAATATTATGGCACACCCATTTCTCATAGATTGATTCACACCTTTTCATCATCCTCAGAGTCAAAGGCTTTATTGTATTCTAAAGTAAAAACTAATTTCCTTCTAAAATATGTTGGTACACTCCAATAGCAAGCATACTCTTGTTAAATGATCTCTGGTGCTTCTTTTTCTGATTCCAGCTTAAATATTCGGTTTTTTATTTTGTGATTATGTGTTTGTCCCAGGAATCCAGGCTTAGTGTGATTGCCACAGACCACACATATCGTCGCAACTTCACAGCAACCGGACGTGATTTATCCCAACGTGATATGGACAATACAATCGACACCATCATCGATATGATTGTAAGTGCTTGTCTCCCCTCTTTATTTGTTGACTGCCTAATAATATTGTGCACAAGCTATTTGTTTCTTCTGCTTCATGTGGTTTCTTTATTTTTATATATTTCAGACAAAGAACGTGGAGCAAGCAGTAAGTTTTCTCAATGCACCAATTTCCACTGAGGAATAATTTTGAGTTTTGCTAGTTTCTCAAATGCTGCTGAAAAAAATGGGCAACTTCAGATGGTCCAGAGTCCAATTATCTGCCCTTGGAACCACCACAGGCTCTGTAAATATGCAAAATCTATTTCCCCCCCCCAAAAAAAATTAGAACAGGTAGCATCTTTTTTCTAATTGAAAGGATCATTAGAGCTGGAGGAGCATCACAAGGAACAGGTTTAGGGGCTGTAAGCAGCCCATTCAGGTTTGGCAATCTCACTGAGAATGACAAAATAGTTATAGCCCACCAAGGGCTATAACCCTGCCACCTCCTGTTCCCACAGGCCTCTCATGCCACCTAGAGTAACCAACAGCATGCTAGCTTCCAAAGCAGAGTACAGCCTTTCACCACACAACAGGATACACTGTAGGGACCCACACTTTGAGGGTGGGGCTATATCCTGTACACTCCTTTCTAAGCAGATGTTGCCTTCAATACCTCAACTGACAAGTTGTGATAAAGTAAGGCACACATACTATTATTTATTCACATATTGCTGCAAAGGAGGGGGGGAATGACACAAAATTTCTTACTGGGCATAATGACTGGAAGCTAACATCCTGTTAAATGGAGGCTGAAGTTATAGAAAACTCCAGCAAATGTAGGGAGAAATGCCAATGGTTGATAGCAAGGAAGGGACTTCTTTATATGTCCCAGAAATTCCACTTGTAGGATAGCTGTTGCTAGGACATCTGCTATCCTACAAGTGAGGAAAGTAAGGAGTGCTCCTTCTGCCTTCCATATCCAACATGGAGTACAAATAGGTCATTCAGGAAATGGAGACCGGTGATTTTTCACACAAAAGTTTACATAGCTTTTAATAGGGGAAAATTGGATTGACATTAAACAAAGTTATTCTAGTGGGGTTAGAAGTTATCAATTGTAAGTAGATCAAACAACTATTTTTCTTGGAAGTATCAAAAACAAAGTCTTTAAAGAATTCTTGGTATGCTGTAGGGGAACTGCTGGATGGCTCTATGGTTTAAGAATCTAGCTACAGAACCTGAGGTGGGGAGTTCGATTCCCCACTGTTCCTCCTTGACAGGGGCTGGACTCCATAATCCATAGGGTCCCTTCCAGCTCTACAATGATGATGATGATGATGAATAAAATGATGGTGGTGTTAATAGCTGCAGATAACTCTCCTAGCAAAATCTATGCATTCAATTTCTATGTTACTCATTACACAGTGGAAAATTAAGTATGCTTTATTGACAAATTGTTATGGGATGAAACTATGACTTCAGCGTAGACATTTCAGAAAACTGGACATGATCAGTGACTGAACTAGATGCAACCTGGAGAATAAATAGCCTTAGATATATTGGTTATAGTAAAACCGTATAAAATAATTCTTAAAGAGCTATTCTGATATATGGGTTAGGCTGAAATGTAATCAATTTACATAGCAATTGTTTTTGGCTAGTATTCCAGTTTATTGAACCCAGTGCTCAAAAAGACTGAAAACAATGGAGCCTTTGCTGCTTTATTGCATCAATGCATGTAGCACATTACTAGCCTCTCCTAGGACTGACTAAATTTGCAGTTAGGAAACATGTCAAATGCTAGTTCATTGCAGAATCATGAACAGTTTTATACTGGCAGGGTGGAGAATGTAACTTGTGTTGAACTTGGTGAGTCTTGGCCTTCTTCTAACAATATGCTTTCTTTTTGTCTGCTGCCAGTGCTGTTCATATGAATGCCAGGTGAGTATAAATGCATTGTCTTTCAAAGAATTGTTACACAAGTGCACTGTCTTTGTGTTTCTCTGTTGTAATCACAATCTGTTCATTGTTGTTTTCAGCCTCCCCGAGGCCCCCCAGGATCAATTGGGGATCCAGGATATGAGGTGTGTGTCTGCCATTTCTATAAGCCTTATGTTCTATAAGATCCTCAGATGGATCTTAGAAATAGTCCTAATCCTATGGGGACTGTATGCGCTAAGGGGAGATACTGAAATGTTAAGACAGCACTGAGTACAAGAAAGGAGATGGGACATTTGTGAGCCACTCCCACCCGTACTTCTGAAGTATCTTCCATAAATGGGGAAATTAAATTTTGTGTCATTACTTTGAGTTTGGGATGGGTTAGATGAAGGCAAATGAACTGACGTTTAATCTAGGGAAGACAATAGTACAGTTATCTGGGAATACACCCAATATGGGCAGGTATTCAATCAGTGCTGGATTAGTCTATGCTCTCTCAGGTGCACAGCTTCTTAAAAGATGCTGCTCAATCTGGTGCTACACCATGAGGCAGAGCTGGCATTGTTTGCTAGGAAGACATTTTCTCCAGTTCAGCATCACTGCCAGCTAAAACCTTTCTTAAGAAATCTTCATGAGTACAGTGATTCATGTCTTTGTTAATATGTAGTTGAAGATATCCAAGACATTTGCTAGAGTATCAACCTCCAACAGTTTGCAAGGCATATGCAATGCCAATTTGCAACTGTTTCATCAGCTCCCGGTTTATTGTCCAGGTGCAGTTTAAAGTACTGACTATAACCTTTAAAGTCCTGAATAATCTGGGCACAGGATACACAATGATGTCTTTATGTGAAATCTTCTTTAAAGGACCAGCTTCATGTGTTCCCACTGTTCAAAGTACAAATGGTGACACAAAACAGGGCCAAATCTACAATGTCACAAAAACTGTAGAACCCCTTTTCTAGGGAAGGTTCCTTTGCTCCTTATTTATTGGACTTTAGATGCACAACCAAAGGGATTATTTTCTCAAAGCTTTTTTGTTGCCCTTAATAAAGTTCCTTCCTTTTCTTGGCTACCTATTCCCATTGCCTTTTTCCATTTAGTAGAAATGCATGTTACAGTTATTTTAATTAACAAATAAATATAACAACATGTATCATTTCTCCAAAACTGCAGAATGCCAAGACCGTAGTATTGTAAAGCTGTCTGCCATCTTTCGACATGGTGTGGCAAGTCTGCATAGATCATGACAACCTTGCAATTGGGGTGGCTTTTCTGCTCAAAAAAATTCATAAGGTTGAGCTCTCAGAATGAAACACTTGAGTTGTTCAGAAGAATTGGAATTAGAGAAAAGAACTGGGATATTCTGCTCTTTCGCCCAGTATTTACACAACAGTCAGTTTGCATCACTGTATTTTAGAAATCTAAATATAAAATGGAAACTGTGTCAAATGTTTACTGGTTCTTTGTTTCAGGGAGAAAGAGGGAAACCTGGCCTTCCAGGAGAAAAAGGAGAAGCTGGAGAGCCTGTAAGTAGAAAGTCGATATACTGGAAGTATTAAAACACAAATAAAGCCTCAACTAGTAAATGTATTGAATTATTATTGTGATAATTTCTCCAGGTGCTGTCAAATCATCTTTCTGTTGGAAAGAGCAGTTTAAAGCAGTTTCACCCCTTTACATAGCAAAACTCTCCACTCCATTTGAGCCTTTGCTGTTTCTATAAACCTTCACACACTCTCCTCTGTTGTTGTTGTTGTTCCTGCCATCCACCTTCTACTTAAAGTTCAGTAATAGTGACTTGGGCCCTGATCACATGAAGAAAAGGTTCCCTACATATACCACTGTTAGATCAATGCGTAAATTTCCGGTCACATGACACATGACCATTATCGAATCATTTCCATGGCCAGCAGTGTATCTGAGGTTTATTTCCCCCTTGCTGGGAGGCTTGTATTATTTTATTCCCATGATGTATCAGAATACTCCTTACCAGCATTGCATGTGTGAATGTCAAACCAAATGGGGAAAATGGAGAAGGGAGAGAGGCCAGGAGCAAGGAACTGTCTCAAAGAAGCATCCCCAAAGAAGTGGGCTCAGCGCAGGGGCATTGCTGGCGGAGGGAGGGACGGATGGAGAGAGGCATGGGTTAGGAGTAAAATATTTTAAAATATTTTTAAAATATTTAAATTTTTATTTTTTAAAATAGTAAAGTAAAATATTTTTTACTTTAAAAAAAAGTAAGGGATTTCACTGGCCCTGGAGACAAGACAGAAGATAAATCTGTTCTACAGTGTAGCCAAATAGGAGAAACTGAATTGGCAATTTAAAAATACATTGGCACATTTGCCCCAGTATGTATACCACATGGCCGCAATTCAGTACAACAAAGATTTGAAAAATATTGTTAGAACAGAGAAAAATTTCCCTGGTGTGACTGCGGTCTAGGTTTTCTAAGCTGTCGAGCCCCGTGGGTGGAAAACACTCATTACGGATGATCATCTGGTGCCAAATCTGATGTTTTTATGTCATGCATTGTTTTGATTTTTTAAAATTTTGTTTGCATTATGAATTTTGTTTCTAACACAATTCTCATATTTGAACAATAGCCAAAATTCTGTTGTTTAGAATAGGAAATTACACCCATTGCAATTTCCATTGAAATTACACCCATTGAATCAATGAGGATTTAATAAGAAAATGCCTCTGTAAATTGCATTGATTCAAGTGAGCCTACTCTAACTGCAACTTACTATGATAAAGTAAGTGATAGTTAAAGTAGGCCCATTTGAATGGAAGGAGTTTATGGAGCTGTGAATTCACTAAATCCCTATTGATTTAGGGACTGAGCCTGCTCTAGTGCAATTTACAATGCTAAGTAACAAGATTTTGGCCAGTGAATTCAACTATGTTGCATTTTGATATCTTTCATTTTGTTTGCTGCCCTGAGAGCTTTTGCTTTAAGGTTATAATAAGGTCTTAACATATACAGTGGTGCCCCGCATAGCGACGTTAATCCATTCCAGGATTAACGTCGCTATCTGGATTCGTCGCTATGCGGGGGGGAACCCATAGGAACTCATTAAACTCTGTTTAATGCATTCCTATTGGGGAAAAACTCACCGCTATGTGGGGAATCCTCCATCCGGCCACCATTTTCGCCGCCCGGTAAGTGAGGGCAGGGCGCGAAAACACTGCAGCAGCCATTTTGTTGACCCGGCGGCCATTTTGGAACCGCCGATCAGCTGTTTGTAAAACATCGCAATGCGAAGATCGGTAAGCGTTTCGCTTACCGATCATCGCAATGCGATGTTTTCCCTATCTAAAACATCACAATGTGATCGCAAAAAACATGTCGCTATGCGGATTTGTTGTTAAACGGTGCAATCGTTAAGCGAGGCACCACTGTAAATAAAACTGGCAGTAAACACCTGCTATGAAACATTAAACATTAACAGCTCTCCTATGCATGCCCACCATTCTTTTATCCAAACTGTTGCCACTATTTAGCAGAGGTTATTGGAGGTGAAAATTTGGTGTATAAAAACCAAACATTGGCTCTCATTCCTGTATTTACTCCATTCATATGTTCAAATATTTTTATAGAACAACATAGTGTCACATCTCCTGGAAGAATCCAAGATTTTTCCATTGTAATAATACTGTAGTGCTTGGCATTTTTCATAAATTTCAGTTGTCTCTCTTTGAATGTGATCCACTTTTTTTGCATTTTTGCTTGTTTAGTAAAACAAACTATTAAAATTTCCATAAATCTATATTTATTTATGATATATTTATGCTATATTTATTTACATTGTTTATTCTACACGACCACTAAAAGTATTGGATCATTGCCATTTGTTGTTTTCAGGTACATTGGCATAGAAGTTTATTTTTTCTCTGTTGGCAGTAAGGGTTCTGCCTTTTAGTAATGACAAACAAGGCAGTCTTGCATGGGTGTGTTCAAGGCAGAGAAATTATAATTTTTCCTCACCCTCTTCCAAAACAAACCTAGACACAGTTAGTGGAGGGAGTGATAAGTTTTTGTTGCACCTCCAAAAGTTGAGTAGTCACTTGGTTTGTGTTTAGTTCAAAAATCCAGGAATTTGTGCTTCCTTATCAGTGGATTATTCCCATTGTTTTATTCCCATGTGCAGTGGATAGGGATCGTTAAGAGACAAATGTCTGACTAAATAGATGTGTCCACAAAAGCTTACATTAAAATATAATGATTAGTCTTTAAGGTGCCACATGCTTTTGTTTTGTTTTGTTTGGAAGAAGCTACTTCTTCCAAAACTACAATCTCATATGGCATGTGTTTTTTCTAATGTGATTAAGCTTGCGTCTTCCCCAGTGTGCATGAGCACATGCATATGCACAAAGCATTTCTAGTTAGAAGATCTATAAGACATAATGTGGAATGAAAACCAAAGCATGGCCAAAAGGCCATGCTGGCAAGGTACAAAACTGCCTGGCTGACCAAGTGATTCTATGTTACCTATGCACTGTGTGAACAGAAATTTATAAAATGATCTAAATAATGGCAGAAACAACTGGGGTTCTTTTGGTACGTGTGACTGCACCCTTAGCCATGAGCAAATAAGTCCCTTTAACTCAACACATATATAAATCTCATTGAGTCAGTGGGTCTACTGCAATAAGATACTGGCCAGTGGGTGTACCCTCAGCATGACTATATCTTATCCAACCCAAATTATTTCTGGGTGATTTTCCAAATCTCTAGAAAACAGGCAAGTGTGGATGAAATATGGTCAAATGTTGGAAATTCATGAAAATTCATCTGTGTCTATTTTCAATATGGTTTCTGATTTCTGTTATTTTTGCTTTTGTTTTGTTTCCCAGGGAAAGCAAGGAGACCCAGGACCTGTTGGTTACCAAGGAATGAAGGCATGTGTGCATTCTTTTATTGCTTTAGCAATTTACACCGAAGTAGCCGTGTAAAGTAAAATTACATTTGTAATTTTTTTTCTTCTTGTTGTCCTGTTTAGGGAGAAAAGGGTGCTCGAGGTGACAAGGTAAGTATGATATTCATAACAGTAAAACACTACAGAAATCAGGGGCAACTATATTGATCCACGAGGGGAAAAAGATTCAAAAGGCATGTTCAGGCTGCCATCCAAAATGTTAGCAAGCTTTCAAGATTTCCAAACACACTGTCAGGCTGAATGAGCCAAGACAGAAACTGGGAAAGCAAAACATGGGGACACGGCTTGAGATTTAAAATTATAGAACCTATACATACAGAAATTATAGTCATAGAGTCTAATTGGAATGGGTCTCAGGGTAAACTAATCCAAGTTCTCCCATGCCCCTGGAGTAAATCAAAGTACTGTCAAATCCCTAATGGTAAATCTAAGCAGTGTAGTATCTCTGATAGCTGGTCATCCAACCTCTGCATAAACATACAGTAGGATCCATATATCTGTGGAGATCAGTTCCATGACTGAAAGTAGATGCCTGAAGCCACAGATACAAGGGAATCCTATACACACCATACAAGGGTCAGGACAAAGGCCACAGGACAGCATCCTTGTATGTTGTATATAGGCTGTAGGCTGTAAACAAAATCAGAGATACTGATCCCACAGATATGGGGATCCTACTGCATATAATAAATGAAATTCCATCAACTTTTGAGTCAGTTTCATTTCCTTTTTTGGTTGTATTAAAAACTTTCCAGACTGCTCTGTAGCATTCATTTTTCTGTTCTGTGTTCTGTAAATGTGATGGTTTCTATGGGCAGAATCCTTTTACATACTTATGCCCCTGTAACTCCAACAATTTACTTCATGGTAAATTGCTGCCAGCCAGGAATTCAGTGTTTGTTTTTCTTGTCATATGCTAAACAATACATGCTGTTGTTGTTGCATATTTTTTTTTGAATTTTTGGTAGATTCCTCTAGCTATGCAGCAGAAGTGCAGGGATAGCTGTGCAGCAGAATAGCTTCAAGTCCTCCAGATTAGTTCCTCCTTTCTTCTCATTACTGTACTTTTTCTGTGTATACAACCCCCCCAATGTATAAATGACCCCCTAATTTTGACCCTTGGTGGAGGTGGAAGAGCAGTTAATGGGCAACTGCTCCTCCACCTCCGTCTCCTGCTGCTGCTGCCTCTGCTGCCCACCCAATCGCCTCCTCCAGTGCGACTGCCAGGGCTCACCTCCAGCTCATGTTGTCACTGCATTGTCCCCTGCCCTTAGGAGACAATCACTGGGGGAGGTGATCCAGTGGTAGTGGCAGCAGGAAGAGGCACCTGAGTGCATGTGAGTGCTTGTTTGCCTCCACCTCCTGCTGCCTCCACCACTGGAGGGGACAAGGCGGCGACCGAGCTGAGCCCCGTCAGTCCCACTGGAGGTGGTGATTGGGTGGGCGGGAGAGGCAGCATCAAGAGGCACCTGAGCACATGTGAATGCTCCTTCACATGTGGAGATCTCTGCCTGCTGCTGCTGCCTCAGCCACCAAAGCGGACAAGCAGTGAGCTCTGGAAAAGGCAATTGGGCAGCGGTGGCTGCACCTGAGCATATGTGTGACTGTCTCCTTCCGTGTATAAAACGAGCCTCAATTTTTCCTCCAATTATTTTAGGGGAAAGTGTCATTTTATACATGGAAATATACGGTAATTGGTACTTACAATCTCAATAACTCACTTTGAGACATTAATAGTAGAAAGAATAAAAGGTTTCATTACAATTGCAACAGATCAGCAACAGGCCTCAACAAACTGACTAGTTTCAATAGATTCTAGACAGGAAAAGACCTTAGAGATCTTTTCCTGAGATCTGCCTCTTTGATCTCTGATCTCTGATATCAGAGAGGCAGCACTCTCTTTGAATTCAGAGGCATGGAAGGAATGATTGGTTAGTGCTGGGTAGATTGACAGTCACCCAAGCCCAGAAAGGTTCCTCCCAGCCACACCTACTAGAGGCAGCATGCGAAGTTGCAAAACTCCAACAGTTATTTTACAAGAAAAAAAAATGGCCAGTTCCTTAACTACCACCGTTTACTGTACCACTGAAATTTAATCCATTGGAGTTCTACCAGCAGGCATAAGTAATAGCATTTTTGCCAATATTTTTCTTTCTCTTCTGGAGAGGGACAAGGCGCTGAGGACAGCATGAAAAGTTGTAACAGCTGAAAACCATATTCTGTATGCCTTCTGGCTTTTGAGCTTTCCCCAGCAAATGCCCACAGACTTGAAAGAATATTCTTCCCGTCCACTTGAGTTGGAAAAGAAAATAGAATGAGCATACTGTTGTCATATCCTGTATACTCATAACCCCGATATAGTCTGGACAATTAGTATTGAATGAAAAATATGTAACTAAAATAAAATGAGTTTTCATTTGCAAATACAGTATCTTATGTTTTGTTAATAATCAATAAAGCAGTGACCTTAGAGAGAAACTAAAATATGGTTGTTGTAGGTTTTTCAGGCTGTCCAACCATGTTTTTTTTCTTCCTAATGTTTCACCATTCTCCGTGGCCGGCCTCTTCAGAGGACAGGAGTCAGAACTCTGTCTGTGCTCTGGAAACTAAAATACTTTGCATATTTTTCTGTATAGATCTTTACTCATTTGACATGGAAGTACAGCTTCTTCCTAGCATATAGTCTATGGACTCAGGATGTAGCCTTTTTGCTGCAATTGCCAAATGACTGTATACTGTATGTATAAATAACATCTGATTGTTGGTTGTGTCATCTGTGAAGCACAATTAAGCACTTGGCACCACGAACCATACAATATTTTAAATCATCTTCTTTCATCTACAGGGCTCAAGAGGTTCAAAAGGAACCAAGGTATGTCCTGTAGTTTAGTTTTCATTTTTTGTTTGAGAGATATTACTTGTCCATTGTGAGGACATTAAAAACTGTTTTTAAAAATACTTTTCTGGGTTCTTTTCTTTTTACAGGGAGAGAAAGGCAAGCGTGGCATTGATGGTATTGATGGCAAGAAGGTATGGATAACACTTGCATGCACAGGGTGCCATCTCATCTGTAAGTCATACTAAGTTACACAAACAGTTGCAAGATTTGTTTCAGAAATTGGCACTGAGGGGGAAAATGGCAAAAGGAATTCAGATTTAAGAAATTAGTCAACATTCTCATGGCCTGAAATGAGTCCATTTGATTGCTCAAAGAGGGATTGGCAGGCACTTAAGGATAAATAACAGCTACAACAGCTCAGGTATTTGCAGAGGGAACTGAGACAGAACAGCCTCAAACCCCCACCACCACCACCACCACCATCCTTTTTAAAGGCATTTCTTTCCACTGTGGCAATTAAGGAAAAGTTAACTGAGGGTAAGGTTACACTATTGAAACACATTAGGGAATGGATTGGATTTTCTAAAGTCGGTTTAAAGTCTCATGGGTTTGGGGTCAGTGTGTGCATCTTCTTGGGAGAAGTTTCAATTCGTTTTTGATCTGTTTTGTATATTGATTGAGGGGTCTACATGGGCTTTGAGAAACACTGCATTTGAGGCTTTGTGAGCCAACCCTAATGAATGCCATGATTACTTGATAGGGAAGTAACCATGTAGTCTGTTCTATTAGGGTTTTTTTCTAGATGGAATACTGAACTAGGGCTATCCCAATTTGAAAGAAATAAATTAAACAAATATTAAAAATAACACCAGTGGCAGCAGCAACAAGTGGCTGTGAGAGGCAGACGGAGTAAGAGTGAGTGGACACTGCAAATTTGTTGTATTTGAGGCTTCACCTGCATCTGCCCACCTTCACGCTGGTGCTATTTTTAATATTTGTATTATTTGTTTTATTTCTTCCAAACTGGGATGGTGCTGGTATTACAGACACAGGCAAACACACATGCCAAAACTTTTCAAACTAAACTGCATCCACAACTGAGTTAAAATAGGCTGTTTAAAATATTTCACTTTCTGAACAAAAAACCCCACACTTCCCAGCCCCAAAAAATCATGTTTAGCTGTACGTTGTATAAATGGATATTTTAAAATCAATTTCAAGCATGTTAAACATAGCACAAATACAAGGGTATTTCGACATGTAACTGCACTCCCATAGAATAGACCTTTCTCTAACAATTCATCTGTCTCTGGAGGCTCCGTTCTATTGAAGCCCACTAGAACTGCCACAGAGTTCTGTGACGTGCTACTGATTACAGGAGGGAGCAAACTATAACAATAACAATGGGACTCATGATTGCAGAGACAAAAAAATGGACTGTCTTTTTCCTTACAGGGTGAACAAGGATACCATGGCCTACCAGGGTGCAAAGGATCCCCAGGATTTGATGTACGAAGGTTCAACATTTTATCTGTATATTATCTGAGGCTGGTAGCAACCAAGCAGAGTGTACAGTTGTGGGGGGAAACATATATAAGTAGAATCGAGAGAGTGCAGGTAGAGAAGGCGGAATGCAGTCTGGGAAGTTTCAAAGAGATTGCTACTGCACTGACCCACAGGGACATCTATAGAAATAATTCAGAGGAGGAGGGGAGTCTATTCCTATGCATTTATGACCTGGCTGCTTTTTATCTGCGACCATTTAGAAATACCAAATTTAGGATTTGTGGGGGAGGGAGCACGTGCCTTTGCACCCAATCCACACACCAGAATATTACAGCTGGAAGTAAACCAAGGCCTAAATGCAACTGCTATTGGAGAAAATGCACTGAATCAGCAGTTATTTTAATCCTACCCATTTACTATAGTTGGGACTAGAAACTGAGTTCTGGTTGATAAGCAAAATCAGCCCCTATCCATGTTTTCCAAAATGCTTATGCATCCTTGCTAAGAATAATCGCAATATACAAAATGAGGTACATAGTTTGTTTTAGTTTCCTGCATAAATTTATCACTCCTTGATTTTAAACAGGGCTTGCAAGGACCTCCTGGACCAAAGGGGGACTCTGGTCCTTATGGACCCAAAGGACGGAAGGTATGTCATGATTTTCTGATTTCCAATGATGGCTTGGGCCCCTATAGGTACATATGCTGGTGAGCTGAAATTCAGATGTCAATTGAGCAAGAACCTTTCATCATTCTAGTAGCACAAGCCCTGGCGGAGCAGCCCAGCCGTGTTCAGAGTGTACTCTTTGATTTATGAGGACAACATTCAGCTACATAATCCTTCATTACACAATATGTAAATGTTTTAATACAAAATCAGGAATGTTTTCTGAAAGAAATGTGACAAAGATCATGGTACTGAAAATCATCCATACTGCATCAGGATTTTCTTGTTGTTTTGCACCTTAGACTTCCAGATTTTTTTTCCTACTTTGTCGAGATTGTGACAATATTGGAGGGAAGATAAGGAAGGAATGTTTCATTGAAGCTGTGAGGATAACTTCAAACAGTCCCATTCTCAATGCATCTCCTGACTTACAAGGGAAACTTTTTTGGTCTCCTGGGACAAAAGTGAGAGGTCTCCATAGGAAAAAAAAATAAGGAAGTACAGGATTTTAGCATAGCTGTAACTAGTTAGCCAGGAAACATGGTTGAAGAAAAAGTCCAAAAGTACACCGTCTCTGCGAATTACTACAACCCAAATTTTTCCATATGATCTAGTGTCAAAGTTTTGTGTGGTGTCAGAGTTTTGTGTGGGAATAGGTCTCAAGGAATCATTTGAGAAGATTGTCAAAACTTAAGGAGTCTTTTTTCTATGAAGCTACCAACCAGCTTCTGTTTCCCCACTGCTCCATGACCTACAATACTTACAGCAAGGTTATTATACAGTCATAAGTTTATTTGCAGGTTTATTGTTCAGCCACACCTCTTTCAGCCATAGTGCCTGGAAATGCTTCGGAATGGTGTCTGCATTTGGGGGGGGGGGCGTTGTATTAAAATAATGTGAATGTTTGTAATTGAAAATTGAACTACTGGATTTAGGATAGAGAAACTTTAATTTCCTTCATAATTATGTTTGTTTGTATATGTTTTCTTTCAAGGGAGAGCCTGGAATTGATGGAAGACCAGGCAGGCGCGGAAACGTTGGACTACCTGGAGAAAAGGTGAGGCTGAAATCACATCCTCTCAAACAAGGGTGGCTAACTCCTGGACTGTCAGCCACATGTCCCCCCCCCAAGCCCCCACATTATAAAAATATTTCCTGGTGAAAATAGGGGTTTAAAAGATCCCTTGCCCTTTATAGATGGCATAGGGATAGTTTTGCCATGCTTTAAGTGCCATCTCTTATCCCCAGGGGATCCAGACACCTGTCCCCCAGAAAAATCTGCTCTAAACTATCCGAAAAAATTGGCCATTAGAAGGACAAATAGACTTTTTAAGTACCAAAAAAAGTATGTGAGAAAAAAAACTGTGAGTTTGAAGCTAAAGTACGTACCTGCTCTACATAGAGCTTCCCTGCACAATTTAGCAATCTGACATGGCCTGCCAAGGCATTTATCTGAACATGAGCAGAACTAAAAGGAGAATGTCACGCATGTACATTCTGCCCCCCCAAAAAAGTCCCCATTCATCCAGATGTAAACGGAAGGCCTGCAGAGGCTTTTATAACTGCATAGGACTCCATATAGTTACAGAGCTCCTGCGATTCGTCAGGGTTCCAGTCATGGGAACTCTTTATCCATATTCAGCTGTACGGAGCTGAACAAGCCCCGCACAGGTTGCTGTGCTCAAAATCTGTGACACTGGTGGGTATGTGGGGTTGTTTGAAGGCACCTACCGATCTCCCCAGGGACGTGGTGGTGCTGTGGGCTAAACCGCAGAAGCCTGTGCTGCAGAGTCAGAAGACCAAGCAGTCGTAAGATCGAATCCACGTGATGGAGTGAGCTCCCGTCGCTTGTCCCAGCTCCCACCAACCTAGCGGTTCGAAAGCATGCAAATGCAAGTAGATAAATAGGGACCACCTCGGTGGGAAGGTAACAGCGTTCCATGTCTAAGTCGCACTGGCCATGTGACCACGGAAGATTGTCTTTGGACAAAACGCTGGCTCTATGGCTTGGAAACGGGGATGAGCACCACCCCCTAGAGTCGAACACGACCGGACAAAAATTGTCAAGGGGAACCTTTACCTTTACCTTTACCCATCTCCCCACCACCTTTTTAGCTCCACACACATTCAAGTGAAAACCTGAAGAGGACTACAGGATAAGGGTCTATGTTTCCCTGCACAGAGCAGACTTCTCACCTTCCCTCTTCCTCCCCACATAAACTCCGTAGCCTATTAAGCATCACAGAAAAAAAGGGCCAAAGATCTGTATAAATTCCATGTGCTGATTTATATGCACAGATGCAAAATTAGAACAGACTTTTACTATTTAAAGAGAATTGCAGTGCATCTCACTTGGGTGAGGAAGCCCATGCCCAGGTACCAGGTCTGCCTGCTGAGTCAGCGGTCCAGCTGCTAATTTTGGACGAGCAACTCCAAAGTCCATGATCTCCCTCCTTGTGGTTCTCTATTTTTAAATTAGACTTGAACTATACATCCCTCCAAATGGAGAATAGTTTCAAAGCAGGGTTGTCTTCTGTCAAGAATCCAAATGGAGGACTGTCCTCCCTAAAAGGAAGACATGTGACCACCCTAACACTAGAATGTTGAACAAGAGGTGAATCCCCCAGAAACCAGAACAAATGGCTGTAATGCCTGGGGATTCTCGGAGCCACTTTTCAAATACTTGAAAGGTATTATTTGTTTATTTTATTTATTTATTACTTGAATCGATATACTGTCCCATTAGTGCCAAAGCACTATTCTTGACAGTTTGCAAACAGTTAAAATAGAATGACAGCAAAGCAAAACACTAAACACTAAAATATCATATCCATAATAAAACAAAGTCTAAAACCTGAAAATCCCAATAGTGCAATCAAATCTCACCCTGAACCGGATACAGGAGGCAGGAAGTTCAACAGGGGTCATTATGAAAGGCCTACCTGAAGAATAGTGCTTTCAACTGCCTCCTAAATGAGTACAGGGAGGGGGCCAGGCACAGCTCCTCTAGGACTCGGCTCCATCACCTTGGTGACAGCACTGTGAAGGCCCCACCCCTAGTGAGAGATTTCTAGACCTCTCTCAAGGTGGCTACATAGAGGAGCCTGGTCTGATGTGTGCAAATTTGAACACATCACCCAAGTTCTATCTAGTCTTCATTGGTTACCTGTTGTGTCCTGGATCAGGTTCAAGCTTTTAAGACTCACTTATAAAGCCCTCCATGGTTTGGAACCACATTACCTGTTGGAGTATATTTCCCCTATGTCATCTGCCTGAACCATCAGACCAGGCTCCGCTATGTAGCCACCCTGAGAGAGGCCTGGAAATCTTCCAGGCCATAGAGAGTGTTGCAGTTGTCATACAGAGGAGGGGCAGTATCTGTTCTCAAACATTCCAGAGTGCAGGGCACTTAACTATGGGCTCAAGCTAGAGGAAGCCAGATTTAGGCTGAATATCAGGAAAAACCTCTTAACTGTTAGAGCAGTACAACAATGGAACCCAGTACCTTGGGAGGTGGTGAGTGCTCTAACACTGGAGTCATTCAAGAGAACATTGGACAACCATCTGTCAGATATATTTTGATTTGGATTCCTGCACTGAGCAGAGGTTTGGACTCAATGGCTTTATAGTCTTCTTTCAACTCAGTTATTCTATGATTTTATGAGACAGATGTTTATGTGGCACTGCTGTTACTCAAATGGCACTTCTGGTACTCAAATCAAATTTGTGGGTGTGGGTTTAATTGTGTACCTTTTGCACCATGTTCTGATCTGTTGATATCAGGCTTTGGTAAACAGCAGGGTGGATTGTACAAGGTGGAAAGCTTCTTGCCCCAGAATAAATCTTCTTTCTTTCATTTAATTCAAATATATGGCCCAGAGAAGCAGTCCATAATTGCTTTCTGTAGAGGAAGTTGTGCACTATGTCTATTATAAAATCTTGACATGAATCCAAGGCATGGCTTTTTCATGCTTTGGCACAAATCTGAATTATTAGATCATCACACCAGCTCCACAGGTGCTGTACAGTCCCATCCTCATCCCCTTGGACGGATTCTCCCACTGGTGCATGCTCTACTCCTCCTCTTCAATCATTTTGCCAATTATGGCAGGAGCACAGATTTCCCTCCTCCAGCAGCTGCCCACTCAAAGTCAACACTGCAACAATCCCTGCCTTGCCTCCTAGTCTGAGTGAGCAGTCCTCCTCCAGCAGCTGCCCACTCAAAGTCAGCACTGCAACAATCCCTGCCCTGCCTCCTAATCTGAGTGAGCAGCTGCTGGAGGAGGTGGAGAAGGGAAATCTGTGTTCCCACCACAACTGGAGAAACAACCCAAAAGGAAGAAGAGTGGTGCGTGAGCCAGCTAGTGAGTGAGGGAATCTGGCTGGGGGTGGGGAACGGGACCACACAGCACCTGTAGTGCCAATATAATGATCTGGCTCAACCCCAACATTCTGGATTCGTGCCCATCTCTAATCACAAATTTAATTCTTCAACTGTTTCATCCTAAAGGGAACAAAACAGAAAGTGCAGCAGCATAAAATATGAACAATCCCAATATGGTATATTTTCATATTCTTTAAATGGTAAGACAAATTAAGATTTCGAAAATGAATAGCCAGGAGGAAAACCAAGTCTGTCATGTGGTTCACAGCTGATGAGCAGCCAAGTTATTTGTTTTGGAATCCTTGGGTTTAATGAGCATATTTATTTTCTGTTGCATTTAGGGTCAGCTTGGAAGTCCAGGAGCTCCAGGAGAGAAAGGAGAACAGGGAGATGAGGTATGTGTTTTTAAAAATTGGTGGGTCTGACTATCTGATCCATGTGCACAGTAAAGAGATTAAGTGTTTCTTTCTCTTTTTTTAATATAGGGAAATCCTGGTCCAGATGGCAACCCTGGAGAGCGGGTGAGGCTACTTCTATTACTGAGAGGGAATGTGTATGTTTTCTGTTGTCACTCAGACCAGACCAAGGATTGGTTTAACTTAATCCTCTGAAAACCTACAGTGTAACTGGAGTTGAGACCTGGTGAACTGATCAATAGCAGTGACTGACAACTGTAATTCTCTCTATGTGGGGCCTCCCTTGAGGCTGACCCAGAGACCACAGCAAGTTCAGAATGCAGCCGCCAAACTGGTGGTGGGCATGAAGAAATTCAATCACATTTCCCCTGCACTGATTACCTGTTGCATCCCAGTTAAGGTCAAGTTTTTGATGCTCAGCGATAAAGCCCTCAATGTTTTGGGAACCCATTACTTGTCAGGAGGGCTTTTCCCCAAGATCGTCCTCTTGCACCAACAGATCCTCCCAGGCTATGCTCCTTCAAAGGAGGCCAGCCAGAAAACCATCAATGAGAAGTCCGGCCTTCTTGGCAGTGGCACCAGCCTTTGGGAATTTGCTCCTAGTTGAGCTGCAACTGGCCTCTTCCCTCCCCATTTTTAATAGGCTGCTTAAGACCTATTTCATGAGGCCTTTGAATGCAGCCTTACCTGAAGTTTTGGTTTTGTGCCCTGCTGCCTTCTTGGGCAAAAGTCATGGGTGCGTCCTCATTGCAAGGAGCTCCATGAACTCAGGGAATGGGTTTGCTCCCTCGAGGTTTTGGTTGCAGACCAGGAGAAGCAGAGACAGGGAGAGAGGGACCACAGTGAGACTTTCAGGGACCTTCAGACATCCTCCCACCCACAGACAAGCAGCTCTTCAGCTGCTGGGATTGGAAGTCTCCGGGCTGGAGGACGCCAATCTGGACAAGAGAGAAACCATCCCCTAGAGGGGGCCCCTTTTTCAAGTGATGGGCCTGTATCCAGTTGCATTGAGGATACTCCTCGTGGGGAAGGAAGAAGAAGGCTTCTGGTAGTGGGCGATTCAATTGCCAAGAACACAGAGCGAGGGGTCTGTGACAGTTGTGAGGGCTGCATGGTGACTTGCCTGCCTGGTGCAAAAGTTGCGGATATCACATCTCATCTGGATAGGCTGGTAGACTGTGCTGCGGATGAGATAGCAGTGGTGGTGCATGTTGGCACCAACGACGTGGGCAAATGTAGCTGCGAGGTCCTGGAGGCCAAATATAGGTTGTTGGGGAGGAAGCTCAAAGCCAGGACCTCAAAGGGAGCATTCTTGGAAGTGCTACCTATTCCACACGCATGGCCAGGGGTCTCAATGCATGGATGAGACAGTGGTGTCAGGGGGAGGGGTTTAGATTCATTAGGCACTGAGGAACATTTTGGGACAAGCCGGGCCTATACAAGAAGGACGGGCTTCACTTGAACAAAGTCAGAACCAGACTGCTGGCATGCAACATTTAAAAGGTGGCAGAGCAGCTTTTAAACTGGATCCTGGGGGAAAGTGGTCAGGAGCTGAGTGGTGTCTGGTTTGGGACTCCTCATCCCTGTGGAATGAGGGTGGAGAGGGTAGAAAACCACAAAGTGATGTCAGTGTAGGAATTAGGACTGGGAGTGTGATTGGATTTGATAGTTGGTCCACTGGAAGGAGAAGCTGTGGAAAAAAAAGAAACAAGCAGCCCTTCTTGTGGTACCCCATACACAGGTGCTTTTATGCAAATACCTAAAGCGTCCAAGCAAAGATGGGAGAGCTGGAACATTTGGTGTCTAGGGATAACATTGATATAGTGGCCATAAAGGAAATCTGGTGGAATCTGGAGAACCAGTGGGATACCACAATCCCAGGCTATAAACTCTATAAGAGGGATAGGGAGGGGCGTGTTGTAGGTTGGGAGGCCATCTATGTCAAAAAAGAGGTAGAATCCAGCAGAACGGAGATGAGCAGCAGGTCTGACTTCATCATAGAATCACTGTGGGCTAAATTGCCGGGCCCAAAGAGTGATGTGATAGTGGGGGTGTGAGGTATGTGTGCTATCGTCCTCCAGATCAAAAACTTGAAATAAGGAGACAAATCAGGGAGGTGTCCAAGAGGGACAGGATTGTAATCATGGGGAACTCCAATTATCCTCACATCAACTGGGCCAATGCATGCTTGGGTCAAGAAAGAGAGACTGGGTTTCTTGACATGCTGTCACGCTCCCGGGGGTTACAACTACAGAGTCCAATAAGCCAGTCCAAAGTCAGGAATTCAGGGAATGCAGAACTGATATCCAAATACCAAAGCCAACTCACACAACATAGTCTAGGGTCAGAGTCCAAAGCCAAAACGCACAACATAGTCCAGGTTCAAAGTCCAGAGCCAAGAGTCCAGAGAACACGGTTCCAGGTTGTCAGGAGCGTGGATGCAAGCCTGAGAGCTACTTACAGTATATGGTAAAACAGCCCCTTGAACTGCTGGAAGCCTTTTCATCCTGTTGATCGGATGTTTCTGTGGGCAGCCTTCAAGCGATCCTCTGACCTTTTAGTCATAAGTCTTCCCCGAAGCCTGGCCTTCAGCCTGTCTACTGAAGGTGATTCCGGTGTTTGTATTTCTAATTGCTCAGCATTCTCCTCAGCCACAGTTAAACCTTCAGGTTCCAGATCTTCAGCTGCACTCATGACACATGCTAAGTGGCTGTGCTTTGGAGCAACTTGTCATGGAGCTCACCAGAGGACAGGTGACTCTGGATTTAATATGTGTAGTACTCGGCCTGGTTAGGGACATGAATGTCACTGAGCCACTAGGGAATACTGACCATGCTGTGATCTCTTTCGCCATGCATGTTGGGGTGAGAGTGTCAAGCAAAACTGACACAAAAACCCTTGATTTATGAAGGGCAGTGTGACATTTGCCCCTCATGGCCCCTGCTTGTCTCCCCAAACACAGAGCTCACAAAGACAAATCTAAACACCTTTTCACGCGCTGCCACCAGTTGATTTCTGTGCATCACGGCCTCTCACAATTTGAAGAGACCCTTGTCCAGCAGGCCGAGGCAAAGAGGAAGTCACAAAAGCAGCAAAACCAGGGAGCTGGACAGGGGACAGATTGGATTTGTCTTCAGTGTGGAAGAGATTGTCACTCTCGAATTGGCTTCTTCAGCCACACTAGACGCTGTTGCAAGTCCTCCATACAGAGCACGACACCATAGTCTTTCGAGATTGACGGATGCCTAACTAACTAACTACTTAGGAAAGACGAAGTTCCATTCAGTTCTGACTTTTTCTTAAAACCGGTTTATTGATTACAGATGTTTCTATAATAATTCATAAGTATTTTCTTCAGGTTCAGCATGCATCAGTAACAATCTTCTATTTTAAATATCACAGGTTACTATACACTCGTCAGATTAATCACTCCTCAGATTCCCAAACTATCTCTCTTTCTCTCTTATTCCAAACCCCCTCTCCTCTCAACTAACACAGACTCAGACTGAACTGCTCCTCTCTGGCTCCACCTTTTAACATCTCTAGTGGCCCCACCTCTCAAAAACCTCAGCATAAAACATAAATAATACATGACTTATTTATCATAATAAGGGTGAATGCCACATATCTCCCCCCTTAAATATGTTTGTTTGGGAGGGGAAACACGTTTTCCCTCCTAAACAAACAGGCACAATTGCATAACACTTCTACTTACCATCTGGCACAATTCTGTAAGCAATAACACATCTTATAACAATCACAATTTCTTATACTAAACATTCCAACACAATTCAATAATATACTTTACCTTATCATTTATACTTAATACATTTGACATTTTCAACCTTACAGAAATAACCACAATCAGGAAACGTTTACATAGATAATTAACCAGTTAGTCAATAATACATTCCAGTTTGTTTTGAAAGTTCTTGCATTATTCTCCACATTTCAGTTCATCCATATTCAGTTTTTCCACACAACACACAAACAGAACATTTCTTATAACATGTTTATCCCCCCATCAGTCATTTGGCTTTTGAGGCACAATCTGAGTCTCTTTTACTCTGTGTTTTGCACAGTCCAGATCTTTCACACTTCCGCTGTAGTCAGGTGCACTGTGGACTGGTCCGGTCGTTACTGCCTCCTTCAGCTGGACACACAACTGCTGGCACTCAGGGGTCCCTCTGATGATCTCTGGCTCTTTCTTCCGTGTTCTCTGCTGTCGACTGACGGTCATTGGCCACTCAGTTGTCCACTGGATGTCCTCTGCTTGTCGTTTGTTAGTAAAGCCTGCTTTATGTCTGGCTCGGGGCTTCACTTTCTCAACTAGGGAAAGGGTAGGCAGTTCCCTCTCCTCATGGGCGACGACTATCATGGGTCACTTTACAGATGTCAGGGCTTACGCCTTCCTCCTCACCCACACATTCATCCACAGGTACTTTCATTACAAGGTTTTCCCTATGTGGGCGACGACTATCATGGGTCACTTTATGATTCTCAGGCAAGTTTCTCTTAAGAGCAATCAATGATTGGTTTATTGTAGATGCACTGGGTATGTTATCTGAATTTATTTCTTCATTCTTTGATACACTAGATAGGGGGTTGCTTTGCAAGGTTTTAAGGTCTGCTTGTTCTGCCCCTGCCAAAAGCAATTTTCTCCCCTCTATAGTTCTCAGTTCTACTACGTGGTCCTCAGGACAGAATACTATTTCCTGGCCCTCATACAAGCCTTTCTCTTTTTCAGGAGTACTTCCCAAGCTTGGCTCTGCCACTTCTAAGGACTTTTTTCTATATAAAATCTCCTTATCCAGGCAAGATCTTTCGGTGCATTCAGGAAATAATAAAGTGGGTGTACTGGTGGCTGCTTCAAAGCAACCTACCAAACTAATTTCCTCCTCCTGCTCCTGAGCCAAACTAGTTTTATTTGGGGTTTTCAAAAGCATGAGATCAGTTCTAAGAGACTTTCTCCCTCCAGGCTTCCCTCTGCTGCTGTATCCATTTCTGCTGCAGATTCTGGCCCCCTTGTGAGCGTGTAAGTGCAAAAGCACTCTTAACAGGAATGCTGTTCTCTGAAGATGCTGGCCACAGAGACTGGCAAAACGTTAGGAAGAACAACCTTCAGAACACAGCCAAAGATCCCAAAAATCTAAAACATCCATTAGATCCCGGCCGTGAAAGCCTTCGCGAATACACTCTTAACATGCTCTATCAAATGTAAACCCTCTCTATATGTCAGGTCTTTATCAGTCATAGACCTCTCTGGGTGTTCAGGGGTCAGTGGAATGGGATTCTCTCCAACTTTTGTAGCACAGTCATTCAAAATACTAGCTTCCATCTGTTCCTCAGTACAGGAAGGATCATTAGGGGTTTTCAAAATAACCTCATCAGCCATTTTGGTTACCTAATGGTTCTTTTCTAACTTGGGTAGATTCTGGATAGATTCAGGGGTTAGGGAATCCATTTTTCCTTCAGGGATTGTTAACTGCTCTCTCAGGGAACATGTTACTTCACAAGCATTCTGCACATGCTTAGTGAGATCTAGCCCAATTAAACAAGGTGCAGGAATTTGATCAGAAATTGCCATGTCCCAATTTCCGATCCATTCTCTATAGTTTATTTTCACTTTAGCCATAGGTAAAATTACTGGAGTAGAACTTATTCCCTTGATGGTAATAGTCTGGTTTGGGAGAATTTGTTCTTTAGGAATCACCTCAGGATGACACAGGGTTATGTTAGAACGAGAATCAACCACTCCTACATAAGACATTAATAAGAATCTTCTCACCAGGGTAATGAACTAAAATATCTTCTGCCTTTACTAGAAAACACTGAAGGACCTGGGCTAGTGGCATATCAAAATTTTCTGTTGTGCCAATTGCCATGGAGACAGAACCTTGGTTACTGCTTTTCTCAGTGGCTTCAGCTGGTTTTAAACAGTAAACTTTCTTGGTCTTATTATCATTGTTCTCATTCCTAAGTTTCATACAATTGACTTGTAAATGACCGAACTCTCCGCATTTATAGCACTGCCTTCTTCGCTCACTCTGAGGCAATCTATTAAACTTTTCCTCAGGGTTCATTCACTTCAGCGGACTAGGACTAGGCAATTCAAGTGAGGCGCTACTCTGGTCTTCTTTCCCTGACATTTCACTGCTGTACTTTTTTGTTGAAATGTTTCATATGGTTGTCCCAGGTTGATCTGTTAAATTTTACCTCAGAGAACCAGGGGTTCTAGAATTCACTAATATGGTCCACTGTTTCACCTGCTTCTAATAGATTTTTGGGATTTTTGTCCTTGACAAAATAACACAATTCCCCAGGCAAAAGAGAGTAAAATTGTTCCAGCCCAATCACATTTTTCATTTGTTCTAGAAAGGTGACTTTCTCATGTTCCATCCATTTGTCCAAACACTGAATCAATTTAGCCCCCACTTGAGCATAAGATTCTTCAGGCTTTTTGGTAAGGGCACAAAATTTTCACCTGAGGTGTTCTGCATTTATTCCAAATCTAGAATACACCATTTTTCTATAGGCTTCAAAATCTCTAGCCTGTTCTAGGGGAATTTAAGAATAAATCTCAAGCAAATCTCCACTTATTTGTGATTTCAGCACTATCATCCTTTCATCATCCTGGATATTAAAGTCCCAGCAAGTTTGTTCAAAAGAAATGAGGAAAGATTCTGGGCAGTCACCTTTTCTATATTTGGGAAATTTCTTTAGATCAATTTTGAGAGATTTCCCTCACTAGCACTGTTATTATTATTACTATTACTGCTTTGAGCAGAAATTCCTAATTGTTTTATCTGTAATTGAAATTCCATTTCTCTTTGTCTAAATTCCATTTCTCTTTGTCTATTTTCTTGCTCAAAATCCATTTGTCTGACCTCTTGCTCAGCTTTTTCTCTCATCCCTAGCTCTCTCTTCAGCTCTGAACTGTGTTTCCTAAGCTTTCTCCTCAGTTCTGGCTTTGATTTCTAGTTCCTTTAATTTAAATTCTTGTAGTTTCCATTTCTCAAAATACTGGGAGCCTAGATCCTTTTGTCTCTCTGAGGCATCCTTCTCAGACTCCAACTGTTCCCTTGGAGTTAAATGGTCTCCATTTCCCTCCATTTCTTGAAGTAATAAACTTTGTGCCTCTTGAGAATCAGTTTCCTCCATTACTGGCTTTTTAGTTCTTTTGGGTGGCATTTTTATCTGAGTTACTTAGTCTTGAGTGTGTTTATACTGATTTTTAAAAGGATCTGTCTTTCTTCTTTTAATTCCAGTCACTGAAATAATTTCTATTTCAAACCTCTGCTTTTTCTTCTATTCCTTCAGATCTGTTCTGACCCCTGGCTTCTGCTTTTATCCACCAGCGCTCCCTTCTCAGAGCCTTGGATCTAAAGCTAGCCCACTGGTCTTCCAAATCCTGAGGTAAATAAAAAGGAATTTTTCTCTCAGAGTCATTCCCTATCTTAGCCGCCGCCCCCAGATCTGGGATCAGAAGCCCCACCACTAAGCTTTTCCACAAAAGCTCTAGCAGGTAACCCACTTCTTCACCACAGACCTCTGACTAAAAGGTACCCTTGTCTCAAAAAAAATTCACTTTAAACTCAGGCTTTACTGGATTGCTTCGTATCCTGCCGCTGGACACCAATTGTGACATTCACACCTCATGGCCCCTGCTTGTCTTCCCAAACACAGAGCTCATGAAGACAAACCTAAACACCTTTTCACATGCTGCCACCAGTTGATTTCAGGAAATAGAGAGTAAGTGTCAATGGGCAATTTTCACAATGACGAGCAGTGAGGTGGTCAAGTTTGCAGGTGACATGAAACTTTTCCAGGTGGTGAAGACCAGAAGTGATTATGAAGAGCTCCAGAAGGATTTCTCCAAACTGGAAGAATGGGTGGCAAAATGGCAAATGAATTTCAATATAAGAAAATGTAAAGTGATGTACACTGGGGCAAAAAAAAGCAAAACTTTATTTATCAGCTAATGGGTTCTGAGCTGTCTGTGACAGATCAGGAAAGAGTTCTTGGTGTGCTGGTGGACAGCTTGAAGAAAATCTCCATGTGCTGCAGTGAAGAAGGCCAATTCCATGCTAGGTATCATTAAAAAGGGGAATGAAAATAAAACAGCCAACATTATAATGCCATTGTACAAAATGCTCGTAAGGCCACACCTGGAGTATTGTGCACAGTTCTGGTCGCTGCGCCTCAAAAAAGAGGCAGTGGAACTGGAAAAGGTGCAGAAGAGAGCAACTAAAATGATGACTAGGCTTGGGCACCTCCCTTATGAGGAAAGGCTACAGCATTTGGGTCTCTTTAGCCTAGAGAAAAAGCACCTGAGGGGAGACATAATTGAGACATATAAAATTATGCAGGGGATGGATAAAGTGGATAGAGGGAAGCTCTTTTCCATCTCATACAATACTAGACATCCACTCAAATTGAGTGTTGGGAGAGTGAGAACAGTCAAAAGAAAGTATTTCTTGACCCAGCGAGGACTTCTTGAATGCCAGAATAAAAAGCACAATGAAGTAACACATGGGAGATGGTTTCGATCTCACCAGAGTTACAGGGCATATATGCGGAGATGTATGAATGCAGTTATATATATGTATATATGTGTGTATGAATGTAGTTATATATATGTATATATGTGTGGTTTTAGTGCTTTTAGATTGATTTTATGTTTCCTAATTTTAAAAAAAGTTGCTTATTTTTGCTGGTCAATGACCATGATAAAACATTTATTATTATTCCTTTACCTAGCATGTTGTTAGTCTGTAGAACTCCTTTCCACAGGAAGTGGTGATGGCATCTAGCCTAGATGCCTTTAAAAATCCATCACAGGTTGCAAGCTATAGTGGGGATGTATAATCTTCAGGCTTAGAAGGAAGGTACCTTGAAATGCCAGATGCAGGGGAGGGCGATCAGGAGACAGATATCTTAAGTTGTCTCGTGTGCTCCCAGAGGACTCTGGTGGGGCCACTGTGAGATACAGGATGCTGGTCTAGATGGACCCTTGGCCTGATCCGGCAGGATTCTTCTTATGTTCTTACATTCTTCTTTGGAAATGCTACACTGTTGTGGATTAATGCTGATTTAATTTGATTGGCCTGTAATAAACAGAATGTGTGCTGAACACTATATGAATAGCCTAGGGTGTGAAATATCTCTAATCTGTGATTTCCTCCTTTCCACACAGGGTAGCAATGGTGAAAGAGGGCCACCAGGTATCCCCGGTGGGCGTGGGCCAAGAGGAGAGAAGGTAAAAAAAATTGTGTTTACTTTCTCTGCATGTTCCTCTCCTAAGCATTTATGGAAGCTACCTCAAGCCACTTATATAGGTGGGTGGATGGATCAGTCCAAAATCATGAAATTCAGCTGAGAGCAATGCAAAAACAGGATGAAAAGCAATGTTGAGAGCAATGCAAAAACAGGATAAAAAAACTATTTTAAAAAAAAAGTTAGTTTCATCCTGTTTTTGCATTAATAAGAGGGGACTTTGACTCACATAAAATTCATTTTAAGAATGTTGCTTTCGGCGCCATGATCAAAGGCCTCCAAAACATGTTCCTGGAGAGCAATAGCACACCTCGGGGGGGGGGTCAGTTTGTGTGGGCAAAATCCATGAATTTGCTTGGTGTACAGACTCCAAAGAGATGTTCCAAATTGTTCTTTAATCTGGAAGGTAGGATTTTCATTTTTAAGCTATTTCTTCATGCTGTTTAAATGTATAAATTTGCATTTGAATCTCTTGGTTACATTTTCTTCATTTCAGCCTAATTTCCCATTCTGTCACAGTCATTTCAAATATTTTTCTTATCTTCTGAAGTATCCCTTCCCCACCCCCTCACAATGTCTGCTTCACAGAGATACCTGTGTAGGGCCTGCCAACTGAGCTTTGATTTGCCCCATTGACACATTGCATCAATAATGAGAGGAAAAGGTGTGCTATTTAATATGATGTTTCAAGCAAACATTGTATTTGACATCCTTGGAAAAAACTTTCAAGTTTAAATGTGGCTTGGATACAAAATACCACCAATGTGTTAAAAGCAACCCCAACATGCAATTCATACATGACTCTATTGAAACTTTTTTTTGGACCAAAAGGTCTTCTACCAACATTAGCTTGGAACATTTTATGACTCACTGGGGACTTTCTGAATTGCGTTCACATGTGGGGGCTAAGGAGACTAAGGACACTGTTGTTATAGAGAAGAGGGGAATATTTATATTTTTAATGAAAGGGTTGAACTCCACTATATGAGGTAGGAAATAGTACGAAAAACATTTATATGACTGTCCCAAGCTGAGTCATTCAATAGGCGCATGAGTAGGGCAGGACACCTGGTAGAATTAATCTGTCCAAAACAAACATGGGCAGTGCCGTAACTAATGCTAGGAGATTTTTTTTAAGAATGTTCCAATGCTACTTAGTGGAGATCATCCTTTTAAATTTTTTCTTTTTTTGAGTGTTCAATCAACATAGTGTGTCACAGCCACATATTCCCTTTCATCTGTTCAATACTGCCCAGAAATAGGGTATATCAGATCAGTCTGCTCCTATTTCCTTGCTAATCTGCAGCTTTTTCAAAGTTTGCACTGAAGTTGTATAATTTTTAAAGCATTTTTTCACAAATTATACATTTCCTTTAAGTGCGTGTAGACTGATTGGCTATGAAGCAATAAAATATTCAGTATTCAGTCAACTATACATTTATAACTGTAATTAATATCAACTTTTTCATTCCTACACAAATACTATCTTAAGTAAGCATTTTCCAATATGTTTGGTACATATTTTGAGCCAAGAGCTGCCTCACAAATACCACAGACCTATGTGACCTCAAACAATAATTATGCATCAAAATGCTCAAATACTGGATTTCCCTAGTATTCCTGCCCACATAATAGACATAAGCAGCAAATACTGTTCTTTTTCTTTCAGTGAAGCTGCTCAGCCATATAGAGCCCTTTGAAAGCTTATGTTACAAATGTAAATATATATCCTTGCACCACTTCACTGAACCAAAGCCTAGTTATGTATTAAGGAAAGGCTTCCGCCCTTTCCCTAAAAGGTTCACTTTCTGGCCCACAGATAACTCACAAGGCCTTTTTTGGCATTAAGGATTCTACTCCACTGTCATCTAACGAACCTTGGCACTTTGGGTGCGCATCATAGCATCTGATGCCACAGAGGGCCCTTGGAAGCCTATCATCAGAGAGCTAACTCCCTTTCATAGCACATGTCCATTGTAATCAGTATTACCAAAGGATGTGGGGCAAACAGAAGCGAGTGCAGGGCCACAGAGATACATTTGTGGCTTATATCCACAAACTCATTAATTCTTAGCTTAGAATGAGCAGCAATTTGTTTTATATATTCAGTGGATTAATTTGAAAGTCTGTGCTGCCACTTTGAAGCCAACACAGAAATGAAGCCATAAAACTGTAGAGCTGGAAGAATCCTCAAAGATTACTGAATCCAACCCCTGCCAAGGAAGGAAATTTATAGCTAAACCATCCCAGATAGGTAGTTTATTCCATGGCAGAACAGCTCTTCCTGTTGGGAAATTCTTCCCTAATGTTTGATGAAAATCTCCTTTCTTGTAATTTGAATCCACTAGTTTGGTTTTGCTTTCTAGAGCTGGGAAAACAAACAAACAAACAAAACAGCTTGCTCCACTTTCTGCATGACAGAATATAAAATATTCAAACGGTGGCTGTCATATCTTTTAAGTCTCCTCTTCTCCAAGCTAAACTTACCCATCTCTCTGAATCGTTCCTTGTAGTACTTGGTTTCAACCTTCTTTATCATCACTTTCCTCTGGGCACATTCCAACTTGCTGATATATGTCTAAAACTCTGATGCTCAGAACTGGACACGACATTCCAAGTTAAAGTCTGGGTCAAGCAGAACAGAATGGTGCAATTACTTCCCTTGTTCTGAATGCTGTACTTTTGTTGACACCACTGAGAATTCCACTGTCTTTTCCCCCTGCATCACATTATTAACTCTAGCAGGCAAAACTAAAAGAAAGAAATTAATTTTAAAAATTTAAAAAGACAAAATGGTTGTGGCACCGTAAAGACTGTCAAATTTTAACGTGAGTTCTTGTGGACAAGTCCACTTCTTCAGACATATGAGGTAAAATGTTGTTTTTAAAAATATTTGTAAAAACTGTAGCCTTCTATATCCCAAGTGTATATATCCTTTACATATGCATATGTATATCTGGTATATTTCTTTTGAATAATCATACTGTTCAATTCCAGACATGAATCTGATCCCACTAGATTTTGGTAATGCTTATTAAATCCTATTTATCTTCCTTTGAGTTCAACTCCAGGGCAATACTCCTGGACTGCCCCCCTCCAACTACCCCATGAAATGATCTTGTAAAAGGACCTTATTTTCTCTGCGTCTCTGCACCGACTAACTTGGCTTTGCTCAGAAGCATTCAGAGGCTCTGGGCGCAGCTATAGATTTGGCAACTATGATGAGAGTTCCTGATACAAGAAGTTGTGAAGACAATCCTTGCGAAAGAAAACTTGGTATTTAGGATTAATTTTTTAAAAAAATTAAATTTGACATTTCTGTGAAAATGTCTGTGTTCACTGTGTTCATAGTTCACATCCTGCAGTCCCTGGAAGAGGGGCAATGGCCCATAGTTCACTTTAACTTTTTAGTGTCCCATGAAGTTTTACTGCTTTGCGTTTTCCTCCCAGAGTCGTACAGTGTAGCCCTCCACATACCTATTCAAATATAAGCTGCTTTGAGTTCAGCAGGCCTTTCTCTTAGATGCAGCTGAAAAGAATTTTTCCGTTACGGTTGTGTTGTGTATTCTCTAAAAAAAGTCAGTGCATTCTGACATTATACGTATTAATATCTTTGAAACAGATAAATATCTCTGAGCATTTAAGCCATAGCTAAGTCAACTGTGTGTCCTGAAGGAAAGTCCCATCCTAAATACAAACAGTATCCTGTAGGAGTGGAACATGCACATCCATCCAAATCTGCTTGCTGTTTTGGATGGGCACATCAGAAAGGAAGTTAAAGCTTTATCTAAATGTCAGTTTCCTGTTTAGATCTCATGTTTTCACAAACAGCAACACAAATCCACATTAGGAGCCTAATATGGGCAGATGTTCTGTAAACCTAATGTCAGAAGAGTGCCTTAAAGGAATGTTTCTTGAAGAGGAGGGGGGGAAGGCAATTTGCCAAGTTTCAAGGCACTTTGACAGCTCGTGTTCTTCAGAACTCATTTCAGGCGTTTTAACAAAACTTGCAGGATGATTATGGTTAGTCTCCAGCTGTAGCTTTTCTAAAGATTGTACCAATTATCCTTGGTCCTAATTCTGTATTTAAAAAAGCTAACTTTAAACACATGTTCAGTTTGGATAATCTCTCAAGGGCTTTCCTGCTCTTCTAACTACTTGCAGGTGTGGAATGTAGGCGGCCTGTTCCAATAGACTGCAGCAGAGTCCATTTGCATTCTTATTAAGCTTGCATTGTGTACTTTCAGTTTCCTGTGAACAAATCTGAACAAATAGTGTACTCTATTGGTGAGCATCAGGGCTCCTCTAAAGAGTTATGGCCTTCCCCAACTTAAAGTACAGTAGGTGGTGTGAATTAGAAGTCAAAAAAAAAAGGGAGGTTACGATATCCATCTAAAGTGTACTTAGATGTCATCACAGGGACAAGTATAAAAACTGTAGTTTTTTCTAGCTCTCTGACTATATTGCCTGATTAGACGAAAGTGGACCATACCATTGAAGTTTATGTTATTTTGTATTATTTATTTAGAATTATAGCTTCTCCCATTCCAAAGGTTCAAGCTGGGGGGAAAAAAGCAAAAAGACCCTAGCAAAACAGTATTTAACCTTAACATTGCTCTACCCCACCATCTGCTGAGTCAACAGGGCTGTTTTCCCTAAGGAAGGAAGAGTAGAAACAGCATAGTACTTGGTTTGTCAGGGCATTCATATTGGCTTACGATATTTTGAGCAGGGACTGGGTAGGTCATCCTTCTCTTTTCTTTACATGGTACTGTTTTCCAGTCGACAGTCTGCCTTGCCTGTAGAGCCTAGAAATTGGATACCTGACTGACAAGCTCCTCCCATACACAGGTTTTCACTTCCATAGCCTTCATCTTGCTCTCACTCTAATGGCAAGACTTTCTGTGGGCTCAACAACTTTTAAGCAAGCTGGCTCAGTGTATGCATATACCTTGTCCCATCAATAGTTGCAGTTTTCGAAAGAGTAGCTCTTGGCAAAATGTGCCATTTCGGCTGAAAAACTCTAGCTATGCAGTAGAAAGTCCAGAGAGTTACAGAGCAGAATCAGCTTCAAGTCTCCCCAGAGTAGACCACCCCTTATTGTCTCATGAATTGGCATATGTAGTTTCAGTAATTCTTTTTCAGACACTGGCAAGAGAAAAAAATAAACTCACAGTTCTGAACTGATCAAAAACAGCATATTGTAGAAAAATTACTGGTTACACCAATAGAGCTTAACTGACTCATGAATTGCTTACTGACTATACATACTGTACATGACTAATTGAATAGTGACTACTGTACTGACTACATGCCTAACTGTAGGCTGTCTGAAAAGAGCAGGAGAAGGATTCATAGCCAGAGAGGCATGCCTCTCTTCAAAATCAGAGGCAAAGAGGGAACCATTGGTTACTGCTGGACTGATTGAGCACCCTAGACTAGAAAGATCCCTCCCAGCCAAAACCTCTTAAAGGCAGCATGTGAAGTTTGCTAAAACCCCAGCAGTAGCTATGTTAGTCTTTGCAAGCACATCAAACAAAACAAAAAATAAGTAAAACAAAAACAAGAAACAAAAATATTGTGCCATTTTAAAGACTAAATGCTAAATTTTAATGTGAGCATTCATGGATCCAGTTCTTTCTTTCTTACACTTCTTATCTACACTTTCTAAACTCGCCTGAGTTGCAGAACTGGGATCCCCAGGGAAATGGATGGCGGTTTGTTTGCTTTATTTCTTTATTGCTATAGATATTCAGGGTGGTATAAACTATAGACTGAAGGGTGACCTGTGTTCAAATGCCCACTGAACCATGGAAATTCACAGGGAGAGGGTTGGGATAGTTAAAACATTCCTTAAAGATCTCACTTACTTGAAAGTCCAAAGGGTGTTGCTATAATGCTGTTGTGACTTAATGGCACATAATACACATAGAATAGTATGGGATTTGCCAGGGTTGTTATGAAAATGGGTATTGTGTGAGTTTCTCTTTTTTACTACTCTTTTGCCTTTTGTGTCTGCGTAGTCTCCTAGAGACTACGCACCTGTACCTAGGTGTCTACATGTGTCTTGAGGAATCAATTTCTGCATTGAGATGGCTTTGAAGCATGAACACCAATCTCTACCCATTCCTACTTTGTGCTAATGTTCGCTGGCTCTGTACCTAGGTGTCTACATGTGTCTTGTGCTTGCACATTGTTGATGCACCAAAAAGCCAGGAAGAAAATGTCTGCAGTCAGCTGGCTCAGAAGCCATTCCAGCCTCCTTCCAACCCTGCATGCCCCCTACCCCACATCATGGCATTACAATGGCCCAGTCTCTTCACATCAGAAGGGCCTGCCCTTGTTCTCAACATTTGGTCGCGAAATCTCAGGGAATAGGATACTGCTGGCCTGGCAACCCTATAACTGTGTGAGTGGGTATTTGGGGCTCAATCCCACATTTATCTTTTACTTCGGGTTTTTTGGCCAGGACATTTTCCACTATGCCACATCAGTTTGCCTTGTGTGAAATATAGGCTGGTTCAAAAGACTAGGTTTATGTTTTAGAACCCAAGCAGCCTTTTTGTTAATAGACAAGTGCCTCCCACCAGCTATTTTGCAAGAGCGCGCCTGACCTCCTCAAAGTCCCCAAAACATCAGACTTCCTCAACCTAGAACATTCCAGCTTGAGGTAACTTGAAGCTTATGGTGCTCTCTTCTCCCTTTGATTACAGGGGAAATCTAGTAGGTTAAATAGGTAGAAAATGTATTATTCATTGCCGAAGCTCTAAATGCTTCCTTTCCCTCACTAGTGTATATGTAGTTATTCTGTTCTGTAAAGTATTTGCTCATTGATTTCTCCTCCCTGCTTTATGTTTTGTTTTATTGTTTTTAGGGTGAGCCAGGGCCACAAGGTGACCAAGGCCGTGAAGGATCCTTTGGACTATCTGGAGAACCAGTAAGATGCTATCCATCTCTTTTGCATCCTGTGTCTCTTATACGAGTGGAGGGAATAAAACGCAAAAGAAGACATGCTAAGAACTACAGAAGGCTTAGCATAGTCTTTTGTTCCAAGTGTAGAATTCAATACAAAATGTAATCATATGGTTCTTTGTCGATGTGACAAGGAAGACCTGGTTCTGTAGACACATTGTTTGTGATACAGGCATTTAAATAGTCCACAGTTCGGGGGAAAAAGTTGCAAGGGCTACAACAATTGGTGAAAGTAGAGAGATAGGAAAAATTTATAAAATTGGCATTCTTATTGTCTCTTCCTCCTCTGTCTTTGTCATGGCAAAACTAGAATGGTAATACCAGATTTCAGTGCAGGAGTGGAGAACTTCTTTTTATGTTAAGTATGTTATGTTTGGGACAGACTGAATGGGGCTGGAACTGGTGGTCCAAGCCAGGGTTGGTTCTGGCCCACACATTTTCTCTCTGTAACTCCCTTCTGTTTCTTCTCCACATCCTTATCTCTTCTCTCTCTATTTCTTCTTCTTTCTCCCTTTATCTCTCATCCCTCAAAAACTGCTCTCTGTGCAAAGAAACCAGCTTTGTGGGGTGGAGAATAGACCAGTTTGTACAAATAAGAACCACTCTCAATTGCGTTGGGAGGGGTCTTAGGAGAGATTCCCATATACAGGGAACTCAGGGTTAACATTTTCCTTCTGAGCTGCCACCAACCTCTGGAATATCTCTTCTAAAGTGAGGGAAACTGCATGGGGGGGGGGGAAATGGCAAGCCAGTTGCTCTGCAGAGGATAGGACTTAAGGGAAACTATCAGCTAGATCGAAAGGCCTGGACTCCTAATCTCACATACCTACTTTAGTCTCTGTGAGATGACATTCTTGCCCCCTTCCATGACACAGTTAAATTCAATTTTGTATCCCAACCAGAAAGTGGTATTTTCCTGACAAATTGTATTAATTATCCATATACATGCTGGTCTTCAGAATGGTTCTTGCCATTCTTGCTGGTGGGAAGGAAATATCATCAGATACATAGAGCCCACCACCCAACTGAGTCCATGTGAGTTCCACTGCCCCCATCTAGGGTTGCTGGCCAAGCTGTCGTTGGCTCCAGGCTGTCTGTGAACTCCTTGAACTAGATGTTATTACAGCAGGGGACCAGGGTACAAAATACTGATGGGCACCAGCTGCACCTCGTTTCTAAGGATCAGGTTTATGTCACTTGCCTGCCAAACAGTTCAGTCACTGGGGTGGGGTTTTTTTACCCCTTCATCTGTGTGGTCATTGGGATTCCAAGACATCCCCAAGCAGCCTTACTCTCTTCAGGGAGAGCTTATAATGTCAGCTATTCAGAAACGGGGGCGACTCCCTGGCGCATCTTGCTGCCACCACTGGTGATCCCATTGGGACTTACACTTGCAGTGTTTCCTCTGAATTGGGCTGGGGTCTGGGTACCCCATCATTCACTGAAGTTTCCACAGGGACAGGGTTGTCATTGTGTCTGAGGGTGGTCTCAGACACAGTGTCCAGTCTGTGGGTAGTTTATCTTAAATGAAATAGTTATTAGGTTTCTTTCCAAATATTCTGGTCCTGGAATTTGCACCTCCACCTACTTTCATTAGCTTAGCTAATGAAAGCAGTGAAAGCTCAGCCCCTTTTGAAGAAAGTACGTACCTTCCAGGCAATCCAAGCTAATGAACATTGGGGGAGCTGCACATTCCAGAACAAGGAGCTTTGGAAAGAAAAGTTTCATTATCTTAAATGAAACTATTTCATTTAAGACAAACTAACCACAGGCTGGACACTGTCTCTGAGGCTGCCAGCATGTAACATATGGGATTTAACCTGAAATTGAATGACCTTGCTGGGACAGCTGTTACATCCATGGATATCAACCCGCCTCTCACAAAAAAGGATCCAGATATTCATGAAATCAGACTGGGAATGCAACTGAAGCTGGAGGATTTCTAAAATAGAGCTCCCCAGATAAATACCTGGGGCCTGCAATATTCCGAGATGAGTTGAGAGGGAAAGAGTGCCAGAATATATAGCTAACTGGCTTTCTGAAATGCTCCCTATCTTATAAGCAACTATAGCACAGAGTGGCAGTGCCTAAGCCACTCAACTTATACAAGCCACATGGCATCCTAGTGTGAGTTACCACACGAAGCCTTGTTAAGTAAGCTGCAATCAGTACCATTCCAAGGCACAAATGTCCTTTAAATGTTTTACAAAACTTGGAATTCAGGATAGAAAACCTTGCAGAACTAATCTAAAACTTGGGCATACATTTTGATTAAAAAAGGATAACATTCTATTTTAGGAGTACTAACTACGTGCTGATTTGCTCTCCGTTACACAGTTCTAGGCAGTGTTACAATATAAAACATTATAAATGCACCTGAAAATTTTAGCACAATTTTTAGGGGAATACAAACCTGAGTTCTACTGCATGTTTTCAAGTCTGTAGCTTAGAATTAACAGTTAACATTCAGTTAATTGGTGTGCTCCAGGAGTGTGCAAATTGCATGCAGCACACACATTGGCTCCACCCCCCTGCAAGATTTCCCCGATGCAAAAAAAGGCATTTGATGGTCACTTGCATTCCTTTTTTCAAAACTTTAATTAGCTAACTTGAAGTTACTTCAAGTCAAGACCCCACTGTAACTTGAAGTTACAACCTCAAGTGTAAAAAACCCAGTATCGCGCCCCTTCACTCTCTCCAGACTCTTTAACCTTAAGTGGCGAAAGCAATTCCCTCTCTCTCCTTCAGCCTCTACCCTCTTCCTGTTAACCTACCCGAGCGTTCTTCTTATGCCTGCCGTAGCTCCCTCGTGGTGCTGTGCTGCCTGCCTGTCTCCACCACTGCCACCTGCCATGCAAAATACAAAACAAGTCTGGTAGGAATGGCAGCTGTGCCAAAGATCCCTATCAGGAGATCATTTGGGGAGGATGAGAGTTGAGGCCTTTGCTATCCATAAAACCAGTCAGTTGCTGACCATGTATTGAGAATGATGATATCTTCTCATTTTTCTAGGGTGAAGTAGGGCCACCTGGACCTAAAGGATACAGAGGAGATGAAGGACCTTCTGGACCAGAGGTTAATATGTTCTAATATCTGTAGTTGGGTGTAGGCAGCAAGAGAGCATCCTTCTGCTCAAGAGCTCAAATGGGTAGCTATGTCACACAGGTAGCTGTGCATAGTACTCTACAGATGTCCAAGGGTGACAAAAGAGGATATGTCTGATTTCACATTTTTGTCCTGCATACTGATATTCAGAAGCTGTGGCATTTATATTAGAAATGAGTTATATGCAAAATATATTAGTAGCAGCTGATGAACTGAAGTGCAGGATTGTTTTACTTTAGTCCTTTGTCTAGTGTAGAAAATTAAAATATCAGTCAGAAGAAAATGGACACTGCAAGAAGAATTTCCCTTGGAATGTTTCAGAGATGTCTTCTTACATTGTTCGGATCATTAAGTTTGTTCCAAGGAGAAGGCAGGAGAGGAAAACAGTTGCAATCTACAATAAAATGAATGCCAAAATAACCTTTAAAATTAATATAATGAATGTTACATTTTAAGGTACCACACAACTTTTTTTATTGTAATAGACACAAACAATTTAGAAAGCATCCACCAAACACATTAAAAAGACAGAGCACATTCCAAGATGTTCCTGCCGATCGTTTACTAAGCAGCCCAATGCATTTCAACCAAAAGGGTCATCTTTAGGAGATGCACATACGTGTCATTTGAGAATACTTGTAGAAATCTTGCAAATGTACATACTTCAGTGTTGATGCAACTGAATTACTGAAATTTCAGTCTTTCAGAGATCTCTGCAAGTAATTAAATGCAGACATCTATAGGGTTGTGGGTTTTGTTCCGTTTGTTTGTTTTGCTGAAATGCATCTGGTTGTTAATAAACAGCAGATTGACACAGGGTCTCTTTTTTTGATTCATTGCTAAAAATGACTGCCTCTCAGAAAACGAATTGTAGTTACATGAACTATGTGGCTAGTTTTGTCTGTAGGCACGCCTGTTTGTCTGAATCAATGCTCTTTGACCATGAACACAACTATTACTTTTTTAAAAAAAAACTTTGCAGGGCCCAAAAGGACTGCCTGGGCCACCTGGTTTACCTGGAGACCCCGGCCTGATGGGTGAAAGGGTGAGCAGCTTTGTAAAATTTGATAACATCTAGTACGCTAAAATGGGCTCTTGTGGGGAGTAGGGGAGAGACTTGGCACAGTCATTCATGCCTACTTTCATGAAAGAGAATTGCGGACACAGGGAGGACCGACCACTGTTTGAAAACCCATCCAGAAACTGAGCTCAGTAAGATCTGCTGTGCTGGACACAGCCAGCATCTTTCTTACACTTTCTTACAGGCTTCAGGCCTGTTTCTAAGAATGATTTAAGGTACCAGTTATCACTTTTAAAGCCTTAAATCACAGTCCTTTTAGGCCCCAGGAGCCACCTATTGAGGGCCCACATGCATCCCTGTAAACCTGATCAAGGCAGCTTTTTCTGCATTAGAAACATCAGCAGGAAAGCAGCAATCGATTTCAGGATCCCAGCAGGAGAAAAGTAACCCTCTGTGTACAAGGACTTCATACAGATCACTCTTTTCTCACTGGAGTGATCTGAGAGAAAGAATGGAGAGCCCTTTTCTGACCATGGGGCAGGGGAAGAGTAAATGTGTGCTGGGGTCAAGGCTTCCGTGGGGGTCTGAGGTTGGGACCACATGCAGTCCCTGGACTGTAAGTTACTCATTCCATGCCTGAGTGTTTTGCTTCACAAAGTGTAAAGCACCTGATCCTTATGGGAAATCCATACATAGGTTGCAGGCTTTGGATGTTGGGTGACTGTGCTGGTTCTCTTCTCTTCTGTAGCTTTTTGATTTAAAAATTATTTAATTTGCTTTTTCTGTTAATTTTTCATTTGTTTTGTTGGCTGTGGGGTTTAAGGTTTTCTGTACCTCACCTACTATGGCTGGCTCAGTTTTCCACTGTAAAGAGATTGTTCTCAATAAACCATAAATAAATACAAACAGAATAAATGCTACCTCCTTCTACTGATTTCTGAACTTTTTTCAAAGGGAGAAGATGGCCCACCCGGAAATGGCACCGATGGCTTCCCTGGTTTCCCAGTGAGTTTCATTACAAAAAGTCAGAACTCTAGACAGAATGTTAAACCAAATTTGTTAATGATGTTCCTCTAATTTCCTATCCTCCTTCTCTTCCCAAGGGATATCCTGGCAATAGAGGTGATCCTGGAGTTAATGTAAGTCTCAATCCGTTACCTACTGTTGGTGCACAAGAAACCCAAGTCTTCCCCTCTAGCTTATTTCCCCTTGACTGAATAGCAAAATGCCCACATAGGAGAAGAGTGCTTGAAGCTCTTAAAGCTCAAAGGAGGGGCAGTCTTTTTTTAAAAAAAAATTCTTCATATGCAGACTAGAAGCCTGGCCTCTGTGTAGGGACAAGCCTGGCTGTCACTGTGACAATAGCAAGCCCATCCCTAGCAAACTGATCCTTCCTCTCCCTTCCCCACAAGTGACAGGTGCTGCTTTCCAAAGAAATTGGGAATGAATTTGGGAGAAATCACTGCCTGTGCAGAAAAGTCTTTCATCGTTTGAAAATGCTATTGCAAAACATAAATAGTGCAATATTAGCAGTATGTGGTTTACCTTTTCTTTCCACCAAAATGATCCCCAATGCTTTCAAGGCAGCAGCAAGTAATTAGTGCCCTGAATGCGCCATGGAAAGAAAAGGCCAGTCCCAGAATTCATTTGGACACCCTCTGCAATCTCTCACTACAAGGAGTAGCGAGTCTGCAACTGCAGCAACACGTGGGCAATGGCGGTGTCCCCTGGTGACTACAAGAGACAGTTCCATGTAGTTTATATGTATCTACTAAATGGTGGTGTTCTCCCTGTCTTCTTCAGGGCACCAAAGGTTTTCCTGGCCCAAAAGGTGATGATGGAGAGATTGGAGATACTGGAACAGAAGTGAGTAAAGAATGAGACTGAAACTTTTATTGATTTGTATTTATTTAAAACATTTTTACTGTGCCTTTCTGCTTAAAAAAGAACTGAGGTGGCTTACATCGTTGAAAGACAATATTTAAAGCTAAGAACAGTGAGTATAAAGAGGCCACTTAGACATGAAAAGACAACATTAAGGATTTTGCCTGCTTTCGGGAGGCCATCCTTTACACAAATTAACTAATGTGTTCCATTGTACAATTTTATCTTAGATAGACATAAGATTATACTTCTCCCTTCAGCAACACTGAGGTTAGGGGCAGCCGACTCCATGTAGTTAAAAATCCATGTATAACTTTTATGCCAGCAAAACCATAACTACAAAGCATAAACAGTTGATTCACACAGAGAGAGAGAGAGAGAGAGAGAGAGAGAGAACAATTCTCTCTATCAGGATTCTCTTCCACTGTGCTTTCCTCCAATCCTTTCCATACAGTATTGAGCCTTAAAGGTCCTTTTCACTCCCTGGAGACTGAATTAGATGTGTTCTGGGGCAAGTAGACCATTTTGATGCCTTTGGTATTGAACTCATGCCCCTGGTTCTGGGTAACCTGCGGCTCTGTGTGTGTGTGTGTGTGTGTGTGTGTGTGTGTGTGTGTGTGTGTGTGTGAGAGAGAGAGACGTGTGTGTGTATGTATGTATGTATGTATGTATGTATGTATGTATGTATGTATGTATGTATGTATGTATGTGTGAATAATGGATTGGATGAGGGTTAATAAACTGAAACCTAATCCAGACAAGACAGATGTGCTCCTGGTCAGTCAAAAATGAGATCAAGGTATAGAGATGCAGCCTGTGCTGGATGGCATTATCTCCCTCTGAAAACACAGATGCACAGCTTGATTCATCTTTGAGCCTCAATGCCCAGGTTTCAGCAGCAACCAGAAGAGCATTTGTACAGTTAACACTAGTGTGCCAGCTGCAGCTGTTCCTGGAGACTTCTGATCTGGCCAATGTGACAGATACCTTGGTTATATCCCAGCTGGATTACTATAACGTGAGCTGTGTGGAAACTGTTCACAAACTTCTGTGGGTCCGAAACTTGGCAGCCAGATTACTAACTGGGGCTGTTCACAAGGATCACGTAACCCCCTTTGTAACAGCAGTTCCACTGGCTGCTGATTTGTTTCCAGGCATAACTCAAAGTGCTGGTTCTAGCCTATAAAGCCCTAAACAGCTTGGACCCAAGCTGTCTCAAAGACTGCATCTCCCTTTATGAGCCTGCTCAAGTGTTAAGATCATCAGGAGAGACCTTCATCATGATCACACCACCTTCACAGGTGTATTTAGTGGGACATGGGAGAGGACTTTCTCTGTCTCTGCTCCCAGACTTTAGAGCTCCCTCCCCCAGAAGACCAACTTCCATAATCACAAAATTACAATTTAGACATGCAATTTACCATGGAACTGATCAACAGCAGGATCATCAAAAGACAAAAGCTATTTGTTGATAGTATTTACACAATTAACTGCTACAATATATAGCCATCTGTTAAATCAATGTCTTTCTTCTTTCTCCAGAGTAACACAACTGGGCCCAGAGGCATGAAAGGAGCGAAGGGGTACAGGGGACCAGAAGGTCCTCCGGTGAGTAAAAAAGTTACCTATTAATTCTGGACCATGAAAGCATAAGATTTGTTGGTTGACTGATAAATCTGCCACACCTAAGTATTTAAATCAGTCCACTACGGGTGGGGGAGTGCATTCCATGCTGGAGGTGTTGTCATGCTACCTGCCTTGCTCTGAATGCCTATGGAAGGCACCACATTTATTATCTTTATCTTAGTTTCTCAGCTCCAGTATCAATCACTGATTATCCTAAATCAAGTAATTCCATTTAATTTATCCCTATCTTCCCTGCCATCCCACAGTCAGCCCAAATCACTTTCACTTTCCCCAGAAACATCACTCTCCTTCTGTACTGGAATTGGGGAGAGCAGCCCAAATGAAGTAGATGGTCAAATTGGTGGAGGGCAAAGACATCTTCTCCAAAATGTTTTACCAGATCTTATTATCTCTTGGGGCAAAAATGGTCCAATGCAGCCTCTCTGCCTTCTTCTGGAAGTATGTCTGGCTTGGAGGCCATACTGGAGCCTTGTGCAGATGCAATAGATAGAAAGAAAGGCAAACAATTACACACTACCTCATATGTCTGAATTAAAATTTGGCACACGTGGGGGGAAAGCATATCTTTCTAAATCTCAGGAAGACTCTGAGTTTTTACTCCTGGTAAGCTTGGAGGACTCTAAAGCATGTAAAATGTCTTCTCCTATGGAGTTGACAGCTGGGTCACTCGAGAGAACACCAGGAATATGTATGTGAGTGGAGAATTATTTCTGTGAGAAATTAAACTGCTGAGAAGTTTCCCTTTTAGGTGGTGGCAGGATTAGGGGCAATGGCTGTATTATGAATAAAGCTGTGGTAGTTATAATGCAGCTGGCATAAAAAAATCATAGGGCACTGAAACTTCCAGTTAATTGTTTTTTCTCTTCCTGTTTAGCTCCATACAGCTAGTCAGCAAAATATTTAATCCCCATCAACTATGCTTAAACATGATTAAGTTCCTTTGGAAGAAACAAATTTACATTAATTATAAATATTGAGTCATAGCTCACTATAGAATTGGGACTGTCATCTGATCACAACCATGGGAGTTTTTACCTGATAATACAATCCTACTTGCTAAATCATAGCACTTCAAAAAGTTAAAAAAAATATTCATTTCTGAGTCGAGGAGTTTGCATCTGAGGAAGTGGGATAGCAATCACAAAATGTTATGCAATTACAATGGGTTGGTCTTTAAGTGCCACAAGACTCTTTGATTGGTTTGTGGGGCTTTTGTTACAAAGGCATCACAGAACTCTGCTGTCATTGTAACATCCATCTCTTTAGAGCTTGAAGTAACTGAGAAGTCTCTTGAACCTTTTCAATTGTTTTGTTTTCCAGGGACCTCCAGGACCCATAGGCCCTCCTGGACCAGATGTGAGTAAAACTGAATTTATGTGGTGCTTTTTGTTCACTCTGCCATGAAGCCCTTACTGAAAGTTTTTTCATAAAAAGTTGAGTGAGTATGGAGGGAAGTCTTCAACAGAGCAAAACAGAATACAGTAGAGGGTCACTCAGTGTTAATAGCAGGCTGTCCTGGCAAAAGCTAATTATAGAGTTTCTGACTTCTCTTTTACATTCATGTAAGTAGCGTTATTTCTAGCTTTCTTTATTTCCTAAGTTGTGACATTCTGATTTCCAAGTGAGAGAACATTTTTGTTCTCTTTGCACTTTCCTTAAAGTACTGAGTTCATCACTACCTGTCCAAAGTATAATGTTACATGTGATCAGACAGCTGGAAAGACCACTTTATGAAACTGGAAATCATCACTTTAAATGGGGACAATCTCCCTTAAAATGGCTTTTCCATCTGCTCCAGCCCATCCCCAAACAACTAGATCCAAAGGGTCCTACTTGGGCATAGATTGAGGTAGGGCTCCAGTTACAGGAAGCCAGATTTTGGTTGAATATCAAAAACTTCCTAACCATTAGAGCAGTACAACAATAGAACTAATTATCTTGGCAGGTGGTGACCATTCCAAAGATGGAGATGCTCAAGAGAATATTAAACAACTATCTCTCAGATATGCTTTGATTTGGATATATGCATTGAACAGGGGGTTGGACTTGATAGGCTTATTGGCCCCTTCCATAGAATATATCATTCTATGAATCTGCAACACATTGTGTGATTGCCAAGAAAGAGAGTGCACGGACCATTCCACAAGCAGTCCAAATAGCAATCCATTTCCCTGTGTGATCACACCCTAAGTTTGTTCTTGTTCTTCATACCGGTTCCATGAAATACAGCAACACTGGTGCCAATACAAGTGGCTCATTGCCATACTGCCAATTCCAAAGACTAACTTTGTTTTAAGCTTGTTCTTGTTCACCACAAACTGCTGTCAGCTAGAAGGGGACAACTTCAGCCACAGTAGATCAAGCTCTTATCTTTTCAAGGCAGCCAGAAGAGAGCACCTGGCTTTATTTGAAGAGTTTTATTTGATTATTTCATACATCAATTAAAACAACACTATGCTCACTATAGGAAATGCCCATCTTCATTTCCTATATTTTAATCTTGGCCAGAACGCTACTGGTGTTAGCATAAGGTTTGCATAATTTGCCACAGTTGCTTGTGGCTAGCTGGCAAAATGACAGCGCACACTGTGATTGTGGAGCTGAGTGTGCCCTCACACCTCATCACTTAGCTATAACTAGCTGCAGCAAGTTACACTAACTTTACAAGGATACAGGATTTAGGCCAGTACTTCACAAATGTTGATCCACCATCTCTGAAAAAGGCCCCAGTAAATGCACCAAGCTATATGTGCTGTAAGCTTGCAGAATGATGCTCACTAAATTCATTGCAAAAAATCACAGAATATTTTCTGTCACTGTCTGCTTGGAAGGCACCAAAGAATTCATGACAGAAGACAACTGTTTCCATGACCTGAGTGGCACTAATGTTTCTTCCTTTTTTTTCAGGAATGTGAAATTTTAGATATCATCATGAGAATGTGTTGTAAGTATTAGACGTTAACTCTTGCATGTCTAGCAGAAATAATAGTGAATATAACCACTGATGTGATAATAAAGCAAGAAATATCATTGCCTGTGGCTTTATTAACCCATTGTCCCATCACAATGGTACAACCTGTCCTTCAGGTTTTTAAATTGATTTAGTTCCAACATACATTTTTGTAACATATATTTCCTTACAATATGATTGGAAAATAGACTCTTCATTTGTTAAATCACTACAAGCAAAGATTGTCCCTTTTGTGGCTAATGTGGCAAATATCTGGATGGCAAGTGGATCAAAATATGTGTGAGAATCCCTGAGAAGAAGGGAAGATTATTTCCGTTGTTTGCTGGTGTTTGGAAAAGGCTTTGTCTATACATGCTGCTTGTGTGGTATTATAAATCAGGATTTCATGTATATATTCTCTTCCCAAACATCCTTGTTTGAACGCTAACTAGGGAGTTAATTAAACTGCATGTAAAATCTAGTCGTTTTTGAAAAATGGTAATGGATATCAGATGGTCCCAAAATATACCCTGAAGGCCCTCAGACATTTTGATTACACTTCCTTCTGTTGTTTGATAAATAAGATATGCTGGGATTGAGCAAGAATATTAACATGTGAGATCTGTGAACATTTCAGTGTTTACCTAATAGGACCTCTTTATCAGATGATTACACTCAGCTTTATTTATATTTGCAATGTGTATAGAATATGTTGATCCTCAGCATACCTTTTTTTTCCTTCCTTTCCCCTAGCTTGCTGTGGTGAGTGTCATTTTTTTCCTGCTTCTCTAATAACATTGCCTCATTCTCATTTAAACATTCTCTACAGAGGATCCCCCAGCTGAGCCATTACAGTCCGAAAAATTAACTTTCCCAAGCTCTGGGATCTTAGACTGTAAAAACTCCCTTCTATCTCTTTTTGCACTTTATATGTAAAACCTTAAGAGTGTTCCCTGTATGATATGGTATTATGGGTGTCCTGTATGATAAAGTCGAGTAGCTTAAAATTATGAATTAATTAATCAAAGATTACTAGTCTAATAATCTCAGAATAAAATAAATTGTATGCAGTATGTGCAGAATGGTGACTATTGTACTTACAATGAAAATTAGCAGCATTTCCCCTATATTGGCGGCACTGAGGGAACCATTGCTAAAATAAATCTCAAGGAAGTTTAACAGGAATTTGTTGCGATTAATCTCAAATCTTGTGTATACTATTTATTTATTATATCTACATGTGGTTAATAGGTCTTACATATTTAATTTGTCTAGTTGTACAAAAGAGAAACTACAATTTGATGTGGATTTTCATATTATAGCTAGCTTTCAATGGTGTCCTCCTGCTGGGTCCTGCTGCTTCAGAATTAGTGATCCTTCATTTCTCCTGCAGTCCTCTGTGTGCCCAAAATGCCTGCTGTGTAAGGCTGAGAAATTCTCTGGAGCAGGTTTTTGGTACCACAGATGGCTGAAGCAGTTGTAGAGGGGAAAATGTGTTTTTACTGAGTGTGGAAGAAAACTATTGGATTTGGGGCTATGGTTTGTGCTAACTGTAGTTTGCCATGACATCTGAATTCACAAAATGTACTAATGTATCTTTGACAGAGTATGTCTAAGGAGTGCTAAAAAACAAAAAGCAGAGAAGCATCTCTAAGCTACAACTTTCCAGTGAATTTAGAAGAACTGTGCTTAATGAAAACTATCATTTATCCCACACATTACAGCAGAACACATACATAATTCCAAGTCCTGTCCTCTGGAGATGCCACCCACAGAGACTGGGGAAATGTTAGGAAGAAAAACCTTCAGAACACGGCCCAACAGCCCAAAAAACCTACAACAACCATTGGATCCCGGCCATGAAAGCCTTCAAGAATACATTAAAACAGCCATTTGTTAGAATGGCTGAAATCCTGTTGTGTGACATAAGCAAATTTCTAAGTTTCATTCTCTTCCTTGCCAGAAAATAAAGAGTCCCTGCCATGATTCTTGGGAATGTACATATACTCTGGTTTGGTGCATGCACACATGCCCCCAAGAATTGTGGTGAGGGCTCTTTATTTACCAGCAAGGAACAGACCAAGATTTATGAATTATTTCAACAAGGACAATTTTTGTCTTGCTCTATTGCTATAACTAGATTCAGCATCTGGAGAAAATGAAGTCTTCATGCTTTTATGATGGGGTTCTGTGCTTTGTTACAGAATGCAAATGTGGTCCTGTTGATATTTTGTTCGTACTGGACAGTTCAGAGAGCATTGGCCTGCAGAACTTCCAGATTGCTAAGGATTTCATTATTAAGGTCATTGACAGGCTGATGAAGGATGAACATGTGACGGTAAGGCTTTTAATTGCTGATATCTACCCCTCTAGCACATATAAATGGAAGTTTCTCTTCCAAATAAGCAGTCCTAAGACCACAGCACATTGCTTTCACGGTTTCTAGGTATCCTAAGTCATCCTTGCTTTTGATAAAATTTGGGCTCAGAGATTTCATCTGTTGTCTATCCTTTCTTTCACAGTTCACCGAAGGGGAATCTCGTGTTGGTGTTGTGCAGTACAGTCATGATAAAACTCAGGAACTTGTGGCCATGGGAGATAATAACATTGATAACATTGGAGCCCTCAAGGAGTAAGTTTAGACCAGGTTTCCATGAATTAGAAAAAAGTCCTTGTGTTGTGTTTTATATGCAACACCTCTGTGTGTGAGATTCTTCCATGTTTGTTTCACAGATCTGATTGTCTGCCGCAATCTTCTGATCTTCCCTTGTTTTTAGGGTTCACTGAAATTGCTTGCTAAGTGGCAGTTTTCTACAAAAAAAATAGCCATTTTACTTTCATATTTCATGGTTAAGTTGTCTTGGGAGTTTTCTGCCTCATCCTTGCTAGACTGTAATCACTGCTTAAATTTAAGCTTTACAGCAAAGAAAAATATTTGATTTTGCTTAAAGTTGAGTCATGGCAAGTTACAGAAATGAAACACTGTAAGTCCAGCAATCGTGGGAACTCCCTCAGCATGATGTGTTTCATGTGCAAGCTAGGAAACGGGTATCACACTGCTATCACAAAAATAGTCAGGTAAGTTCAGAGCTGAGGAGTTTCACATTTCTGAAGAGGTTAAAATGGTAGAAGCAAACCAAGGGAGAAAGAATTGGGAAATGTGTCTCGATTTTTTTGTCAGGGAAAGAATTTTGCTCCCTAGAGCTGGCACTGAAATACCCTTCTGTTGGTTGCAAGGGCTGTGAAGAACCTGCATTGGATTGCTGGCGGCACTTTTACTGGCGAGGCGCTTCAGTTCACCAGAGACAATTTGCTGCAGCGGTTCACCTCTGACAAAAGAGCAGTTATCGTCATCACAGATGGACGGTCTGATATACTTCGGGATCAGACCCCCCTCAGTGTTCTCTGTGGATTCAATACTGAGGTGAGATAAATAATTGGGTACAGGAAAAGGTAAGCAAGTGCTCCTGAGACAATGCGTCTTCTGTAGTACAACTTTATAGAGTATAAATACTTTCCATTTTACAGGTAGTACCTCTCGGTATTGGTGACATTTTCCAAAGTCCTGCAAACCCTGAGCAACTGTCAACTATTTCTTGCGGAGGTGTGTCCATTCAACGAGAAAATTATGCTGAGATTCTTGATGACACCTTCCTACAAAACGTTACCGCTCAGATCTGCAAAGGTGAGTGCCCCAGCTCTGGTTACTGCTAATTAGGGATCAGTGGAAGACTGGCAATGGGCTAGTGCTCCAGACCAAGACTTAACCAGATGATGATGGATATAGAATTGCTAGGGTGAAAAACGATATAGATTTTAGGGAAGCAGAATTGAATGTAATTTTGTGATCCATGCAGTTCAAAGGAACTGTCATATAGGTTTCTTGCCTGGCTATTATTTATTCTAGTCTTAAGAGGCTACTGACTGTTCAAGGCAAGCAAGACAAACAAAAGCTGCAAATGCTTTTTTTTGGGGGGGGGGGAAACTATTCTATGCAATATTAAATTTTCAGTTATAATTTTTAGCAGACCTTGGGAAACCAAAGCATGCTTCATAATGACCACATAGCTGCCTCCTCTGCAGCCAGGGTCATTTGTACACTGAACACAAAAGGAGAATAGCCAACACGAGGCTATCTCTATTGGATATACCTGCAATTCAAAAAAGTACTTGTACTTACTGTACATAATCACAACGCCAGTCTTGTGGTATGCTGTGCTAGCTATCGTAAAGACTGGTAAAGACTCATTAGCACTGTACTGAGCATTACATTAATGTGATTTTCTTTGCATTTTTTGTTTTATAGACAAGAAATGCCCAGACTACACTTGCCCTAGTGAGTACACTATAACTATGTTTACTACAATCACATGTTGTCTGTCTTATTGAAGTTCATCTAATTGCATTTGCTTTGCTTACCCCCTGCTCACATAGGTGAAAAATACCACTATTTCTCAGCTCTTCCAAAGGCTATTGCTAATCAAAGGTTTCCACAAGCACAGAACATTCACAGTAGAAGGTGTCTCTGCTGTGGCTGGTTGGCAGGGAGACATCCTGCTGGGTATGAGGTCACGTTCTGGTGGAGGTGGAGAGCAACCTAAATGTCTTCCTTGGAGGCTGAATGATACATTGCCTCTTAAGCCACTGTTCTGGACCAGCCTGCTTCCACCCAGGAGGCATGTCCAGAAATATCACCCTTCCAGAAACACAGGGATCTTTGATGAATGATACTGTGTAATCCTAAGCAGTAAGCTTTTCTGAGCATTAGACTGAAGTGTCTGACTTTCCTTCTGTGTTCCTTCAGACGTTTAGGAAATAGCAGGTCATCTGCTTCCCATGGAGCAGCATTTGGAAACCTAATCCAGCTTCAGCCTAAGTCTAGTGTGGAAAGTTGAGTGTTTTCCTTTGACATGGGTTTTTTTCCCCAGCCAAACACATTCTCTCAGCTGACCCATCCTCTTTTCCATGATTTATTATAATTTAGATATGGAAGGGATACCAAAATGGAAGAACTGGAAGTTTAGCTTTTCTGTACTCTACAGAAAATATGGCTAGATCTAGTCTTCCCATGGCTGTAATTTCACATTCCTTACCATTCTTTCTATTTATCTTGAATCTTTTCTTTACTGCTGCTGGCCAGAATCCTCTTTCCATTACATGTAATGGGAATGGCATGACATTTGGAGGTGAAATGACCCAAGTTAAGAAATCAATGTAGATATCATCTCTGTTGCATGATGAGGCTCAGTGAATGCTACATAATGTCTGGGTGATTTCCTAACTTGAGTCCATTGGTCTCCAGAAGTTATATTATTGTGTTAAGCCAGCATAACTATGCAAGAGAACTTCAGCCTTTATTTGCTCCCTTTACTTTAATGATGCGAGGCCAGAATTGTGGATTAAACACGGGCCACACTTTATTGAAATGATCAGTGTTGCCAATCCTTTGGCAAAGGGGGGTCCTGCCGTAGTGCGGAATCAGGTTTAAACACAGAGGTCTGAACAGACCCATTAAACAAACAAACAAATGGGCGAGTCCCTGGCCAAGGTTTTCGCAGCCACGAAGACAGTAAGAAATCCAGCCGGCCCAAATTTGACCACCCCTGGACCTCAAGCCACCTTCTCCTTGTTGACTGTTGGTCCAGGTGTGGCCCCAGCACATTTCCCCCCCCCAAACACTGTAATCACACGATCCACAGCGCTGGGAGTACATATGACCTATATATTACCTGAGATTGCTATGGGACTAACCAAAAAAACTTTTTTCCACACTACCTGCCACTGCATAGGGACTAGCCATGCTAAGTCCCATGCCCACCATCGAGCTCACCAAGCTCCAAAAGCAGCCCCCCCCCTTGATGTCTTACAAGAAGACATCCAAACCTCGTTCGTACGGATGTACGCCATCAGACCGAAGAAACTCAGACCTATCCTTGGATCCTCTGGTGACCAATCACCGATCCAGACCGCTGCAGACAGCTCTGCAGACCACCCTGCTAACACTCTTTCATGCAGCATTAGTGGGCCAAAAATTGCCTCACATCCCTTCGTGCCAGCCGAGGGATGATCATCGACCGTACAAAGTCCATAGCAGGGTACGTAACCCTCAACCATATGGTGTCACAAATCACATCCAGGATCAGGCTTTTCCGCAGATCCTGGTCAGGTCGTTAATACCCAAGAGTATTACCAACACATCTGGGGGATGTTGACCAAAGGCAGCCGCACGGCACGGTTGGCCTCACAGTATCCCACGGCGTCCTTTCCATTTGGTAAGGGCTCTGGCTCCAAGTCTGAGACTGCTCCCCCATCGGGAAGTGGCAGCATCCAGAGCTGCCCAAAAAACATAGCTGCGGTCAATGATCATGATGTTCTACCTTCTCAACATTGTTATGGCATGTGCAAGATAAAACAAAACAGGCCCCTACCTGGACGTCAGGGGGTGCCTCGCTAATCAGCCTTGGATCAGTGGATGTGAATCTGCACCATCCCGATAACTACCCAAACATCCTGCCATTGTAGAGCCACTCTGGTTCTGTCTCCCTTTCCAGTGGCTACCCTTTCACTAATCCTGAGGGCACCAAAAATATATTAAGGATCTCTACATATAACCTAACTGAGGGCACCAAAAAGATATTAAGGATGCCGCCTTGAATAAAACAACTTCATTATCATCTCTACATATAACCCACCACTGCTTTCTACTAGTCCCGGTGATATAGGTACTCTCGAAACTTTAAATCTGCCTCTTTCCTTAGACTGACCTTCCATCATTTTCCTAAAGCAGTAGTCTGAAGAATAATCCTGATACCATGAACTGTAGTGTAGAAAGCCTGCGCCAATAACCTACCCTGTGTAGGTCCTGGCCACATAGGTTCTAAATCAACTAAGTTCCTAAGCTCCTGAAACTCTATACTCCCTGGCAAGTAAACTTATCATGTCCTTGGTGCTGGGGCCAGTCATATGGACCTTTCACATCATCACGCCAAATTGCCAAGCCCCCGGGGGAAGAGTCTCTGGGAACTCATTGGCTCCTAGATCTAACTCCCTGAATTGCTTGATTTGTTGGCATGATAATTAATAGACTAAGCTATTATCTACACCTGGTACGTGTCTAGCCTGCACCAGTGTCATGACCCGGTCTGAATGCATGTGAGATTATTAATTATATAGACTACCACCAGATTGTCACACCAAAACGTACGACAGAGTTCACCCATTCCTCTGCCCAAAGCCACAAGGCACCAACTATTGGGGGAAAAAATCTCCAAGAACGTCAAATCTCTGGTGATTCCCACAAACAATCAATCTAATAAATAAAATACATAAACAATTAACTAACCAAATAAAACTAATCAATTAGAAGGGGCCGCAGAGTGCCTCCCAGCTGATCCAGGCCGCTCACAGACCACAGCCCGCTGCTTTTAGCTGTATTAATAACACCAATTTAAACCTTCCTTTCCTTTATGTAATTACTCATTTGATTTATGAACAAATTATTTCTATTAATGGTAATCAACGAACTTAAGCAATCAAAGTGTCCATGAGCAAAAACTCCCCTTAAAGGTTAAGGGCTTGAAGGCACGCAAGCACCTGCTCAGCAAGGCCCCGAGCAGCGGCGCCAATTCAGCTGATGCTGTTCCTTCTCACCCCCAAAAGTAAGCATCAATGAACATGTTCTAAGAGAAACTAACTTGAGCAATCAAACTATTCGTGAGCAAAAAACTCCCTTCAAGAGTTAAGGGCTTGAAGGCACCCAAGTGCCCTGAGCAGCGACACCAATTCCAGCTGACACTGTTCCCTTTCACCTGCAAAGGTAAGTAACATTCAAGGTGTTCTAGGAGCAGATAAGAAAACCAACATTGCCAAACAGCTTGTAATCCCAGAGCTGAGTAAATGCAAGCAAACTTGGGGGGGGGGGTGCCAATGCAAAAAAAAAACCCTCCAAAATAGCAACGGTGCTCGAGCCTGGAAAGGTAGCTACAATTAGCGAGCGGGTGGTGGAGCTCCAACCTCCTTGTGCTGCCAGTGAAGGAAGAGGAAGAGGAGGGGGGGGGAACAGCCCTTAAATAACCACTCCCACCTAGGTGCTCATGCAAGATTGAAGAGATCTCGCAACCTCCAAGGAAAAAGGAAAAGGCAAGCCTTTCTTATTTGCAGCCTTGTAACTTCTGAAACCTCTTTAGAGGGTGTTGGGCTCTAGAGAAGTGGGAACTGTACTCCATAGGACTGTGGTGAGAGGGGGGGACGGCCTAAAATCAGGCAGAAGGATCTTGCTCCAATAGAAATTCTGCTTCTCTTAAGAGCTATTTGTCTGCTTTTTGGTGATTGTCCCTTCCTAGTCTACTGAACCCATGTATGACCTGGCCCCTGCTATTCACAACTGCTCCCAGACATTCTGGTGAACTGATTGGGAGGGCAGAGAAGGTTGCAGCAAAGAAGAGGAGAATAGAATGAACATTTGTTTTGGTTGTATGAAGCAGCTTAGAGAAAAGCTTGTGTGAGTCAGCTATTGACAAGCTTAGAACACGCACCAAAGAGTTATGAGCAAGTATCTTCTCTTTTTCAGTTACTTTTGCTGGGCCAGCTGACATCACACTCCTTGTGGACAGTTCTACCAGCGTTGGGAGCCGTAATTTCAATACCACCAAAAGATTTGTAAAACGCCTCGCGGAACGATTCCTGACAGCAGCTAAACCTGCAGATGATTCAGTACGTGTCTCAGTTGTTCAATACAGTGGCAAAACCCAGCAGAAACTAGAAGTGCCATTTGAGCAGAACTACACAGTGATTGCTGATGCTGTCGACAAAATGCAATTTATTAATGATGCCACAGACGTGACTGCAGCTCTAAACTTCATCACTAGCATCTACCGTCGATCTTCTCGTTCGCAAGCTAATAAGCGAGTGCTTATTTTCTCAGATGGCAATTCTCAAGGCATCACCAGAAGCGCCATTGAAAGGGCAGTTCAGGATGCTCGCCAGGCAGGCATTGAAATCTATGTACTGGTGGTTGGTACTCAAGCCAATGAGCCTAATATACATGTGCTTGTCACTGGAAAAACCACTGAATATGATGTGGCCTATGGAGAGCGACACCTCTTCAGAGTGCCTGATTATCAATCTCTAGAAAGGGGTGTATTTTATCAAACTGTCTCCCGAAAAATAGCTGTAGACTGAAGTGTGGGATCAAGATAAACAGATTAAAAATTTCTTAAAGTAAAATGTTAAGAACCAGAGCCATGTTTTTATAAAAAAAAAGCCAATAGCCCACCTGTACCCTTGCTTTCAAGCTGTGTTACAGCCCCTGTTTTTTCTCGTTTTCTTTATTGTTCATGATACAAGAAACATGTAGGTTGATTTATTTTTTGCAAAAATTGTTAGCTTTAAAACCGAAATGGCTAATTTTGTACCATGTTTGATAAAGATAGGGGTGACTGGTTAAAAAACAGCTCAAATGCACTATTTTTTCTTTATGGCTGAGCGACAATGTATTCCATAAAGATACTGGGAACTTTTCAGAATAAAATGATGCTCATGTCTCGCTGCCAAGATTATTATTTTTAAGTTTTATGTTCCTTTATTTTGTAAAGAGGTATTAAGTAGTAATTGCTATCTATGCTACGCAGCTCCAGAAAGATTACTTTGCCCTCAAAAATATAACGGATATTTTTATGCAACCTCTCTAGGACTGAAATTATAACCTCAAATATGGCATCCAGTTATTTAAAAGTTATCAGTTCTTTACCCAAATAAGAGTTTAAGTAGGAACAAAGGAAGGATTTAGTGATGTCAACAATAATATTATTCCTAGATAATGAAACTTGGTCCCAAAAGAGCGAATGTACAAATTAGTAAAATTCTGTTGAGGCCTGCATCTTGAGTTTTGAGCCTCTGGATTTCAGAGGACCCTTTCTCCTTTCCAATGTGGTAATTAATATAGGTGCTACTCTCAGCCTGTCTCTAGCAGCCTGAAGTTTACATTGTTCATATGTTTACATGGTCAGTTTTGAAAGGTACATCAAAGTTGAGGATTAGATTTGACATGTTTCCTCCAGTATTTCCAGTGATGCTCTTGCTAAGAATTCAATGTGCTTTTAAAAAGTAAGATTTCAAGATTTCAGCTTGTGGTTTTGTAATTGTATCCATTTTAGCCATTCATTTCGTTTTAGTCTTGTGTTTTACTGACAAATGTTCACATTGAAATTTCAAATAAACTATCTCCACAATTTTAGTGAGAGGGAAATTGACTTTATATTAGTCCATACCTTATAACAGCGATGGTGAACCTATGGCACACGTGTCACAGCAGGCATGTGGAGCCCTTTCTGCCAGCATGCAAGCCATAAATCACCAGATTGCTACTCCCCTCCCACGCAGCCAAACCTGAGAAGGCGGCTGCATCTGCGGTGCTGGCGCTTCTGCAAGTGGATCCGGAGCGGCTGGTGCTGGCAGCGGATCCAAAGTGGGGTCTCAAGGCATCTCTGTGCCAGGATTCCCCCTTCCGCCACCACTTCTGGTGCCGTCACTGCTGCGGCACGCTGCCCACTGGTGGGGGGTTTTGTGTGTGTGTGTTTTCCAGTTTGGACACGGAAACCCAAAAAGATTCACCACCACTGCCTTATAAGAACAGGAGTTTCACCAACTAGTCTGTGTCACATTCCCAAGCAAAGGCACACATTACGTGTCGTTCAGCTGCCACCAGTTGATTACATCAACCCTGTTCATTATTAATTATCATTTAAGAACCAAGTACTGTAGAAATTGTTTATTGTTACAAGAGGTAAAAATCCAGTCAATGTTGTTAACTCTCGACAACTTTCTTTCTCTACTCTCAACCACCTACTCTCACTCTTCCTCTCTCTCCTTTTCCTTCTCCCACTTAACTCCACCTCACCAACTCCTATTGGTGCATGCAAATTTCAACATAAATATTCATGAGCAGGATGAACCTACAGTGTGAAATTCCATTCACTGAAAAATGTGTTTTTAAAAGCTACATACAAGAATTTTTAATAAGAATAATAACATATGTATACTACAGAAGAACAGCTTCATCTTCTGCATGGTTTTTCAGTACGTATTTAATAAGGCTTTATCCTAATTGTGCTCTAAACTAAATGGTTAGACCTCAAGGAACCCAAGGAAGATGAGGATGTAGGGATCACCAATTCAATTCTTCAAATATGTTTTTGAGTGTGTGTGCGTGTGTGAGGGATCACCAATTCAATTCTTCAAATATGTTTTTGAGTGTGTGTGTGTGTGCGTGCATGCACACGCACGCACGCACGTGCACGCGCGCACACACACACACACACACACACACACACACACACACAAATATCTGGATATATATATATATCCAGTTTATAAATATGGAATATTGAATATTGTGCTTCTGTACCCACGATACAAAAAGCTGGGAAGTGGTCCAATATTCTTGCAAAATACCGTATTTTAGCCCCATTTTTATTTAATCTTTTTTTAGCAGATTTACGCCCTCAGTTGTCACCAGCTGAAAAATCTGCCCCATTTTTAAACAAGGCGTCAGTACCCCTTCTATTATACGCGGATGATGCCGTCCTTCTTTCTATATCCA